TATTCTTTGACCCTGAATTCTTAAGTATCTAATTCTTAAAACTCTTTTTACGCCAAGCAAAGTGAATTTTCTACAATAATATTGTTCAACGCTACAAAATGGCTGTATCTGACTATTTTATGCAAACCAGAAAATATTCCGTTGTCTCGTCACGGTCTTATTGTTATCAATGAATTAATCCAAACCAGTAAGTAGATCGACTGTCTTATTATTATGATTAGAATTTCCATCGTTTGTTTTTACGTCCTTGTCATGGAAATACAACAGAGTGCTGCCCAGATAAGGCAAACACTAGCGGAACTATTCGACGGCCATATCCCATTCATTTTATATAACACAGGAATTTTTGCTTAGACAAAGTTAACCCTGTTCTTTCTGATCAATACACCCGGTCGTTTCGTATTTGGGAATCGTTGTTTTGTCGTGCAAATATGATATGATGAACACCTTATGCAATAATTTACTCCGTGCCACAATTTATTTAAGTCCATAATATACTTCTTTGACTATATAAGAACTGCATCCGTCAAATAGTACACTCAGTTGCTCCACAGTTGTATATATACCTTCTTTCCGTGCAACAAATGCACTTGACAAGTAGCAAGCGATTGGTTCGCAGGGGACGACATTGTTTTTTTATGGGAGGGTTAATTTTTTTACTAACAGAGCTCTTCGTAAAATATATACACTGACTGAGATCCGACGCGGTATTTTTTCATTTAGCAAACTTGGCAATTTGGGGTTAATATCTGAAATTAAGGTTTGTCGATTCGAGTTTGGTAGTACAAACATGCGTACAATAAATTTGGTGGGAATATGCTGACTTGGTGGACAGTCAAAGTCATTAGGAGCCAATGTCTCTGAGTGAACTTGCCGTTGTCCCTACGGAATCGTGATAACAATGGTCCAGTGTTGCGACGTTCCGAGTGCAACAATCTTAAAAAGTGATCGACGTTCAAGGGAACTCTTATTTAATTCGGCGACGCTTTATTTTAAGCTTCTATAATCGAGTTGAATGGTGTAGTCCAGGGGTGGCTAACACGTCGATCGCGATCGACCGGTCGATCGCCGCGTTTCGGGTAGCTGATCGCGTCCGACGTTGAGTGAATTTAATAACATACGCAAAAAATTGCCTTGAACCAGAGGCATGAAGCACATGCGTGTGTTTAGTGTCTAAAACAGGAAGAATACAGTACTTGTACATGCGCAAAATACGATATACACTATTTCATAGGTTCTCAAAGTGCTCCGTACGGAGCCCCAGGGCTCCGCGAGAGAAACCTAGGGGCTCCGTGAGCTATCCGATTACTTTTTAAAATAATGACTAGTTTTGTAACTGTTCAAAGAAACAATAACAGCTTTGATAAAATTTGACAACATTATAGCCTCGAAATATGGCAAAGAGGCGGAATCGAAAAATGACATTATTTATAAGCTGGAGCGCAGCCAGGATTCTCAAGAGGTGGGGATTTGAATCGGAAATTTCCGCGCAACACGAGATTTCTGTTGCGTAAAATATTCAATGTATGGCCGATGCGAGCATTTAAAGTGTCTCGTCGTAATAATTCAATTGTACTCATAGTTACTCAAGTTTCATTCGAGATTACTATTAGGATTACTAAAATGAAGGAATACTATTCTAAAATAACATAAAATACGTGATAAACTGCCACCTATGAATAAATTGGAGTCGTATTTTTGCGATCTTGGAATTTGTCAAACTTGATTTGTTCTTTTGCACTCAAGATTATTATTAAGCAAGATATCGCCGTTAAAAAAATCACAAGATCTGGGCAAAATACGATTGAAATTTATTTTAATGCATGCGGCTCCGTCGGTAGTTTCAGAATAAAAAAAAGGTAAATCGCGCACACAATTGACTGTGTTTCGATTTCTCAGTTACTGTACTACGAATAACCAAAGAAAACCTAACATTACACCAAATTTTGTGATTTACAATGCCTATAAAAGCGTTTTTAATCTGACGTGAGTCTGCTAAAACCAAACTTATAGTGTGATCTTTTATTTTGAAATTTAATATTTTGGAATGCCGTTTTTCAATCAAGAAATTTGAGTTGCGGATTTACCTCTTTATTATTAATTATTATTTTTAGCATTTTGTCGCCGATGACTATATATGGTAACATGTTTTTCACATTGAACTCATAATTCCCCACGAGAACAAAAAAGCAATCATCGTCGTCATTGTGGAACAATACGTGTATAAGCCGAAGAAAATTTTTGATTTAGGGAGAATAAACACTGGCGTAAAGATGTTTAACATGCCATGCTGACGAAAACTATCGGTGATTGTAACAAAATGCAATCGCGCACGTTATTAGCAGCCTTTTAGTTTTAAGTCTTCCGAAAATGTCAAAAGGGAAAAGATTCGACCCCTAGTTTATTAATATGTTTGTCAAGTGTCAAATTTACAGCTTTAGTAAGAGTATATATAATTTATCTTTGAAATTTTGATTTATTTATGACTTGCATTAACCCCATTAAAAAAAGGTTTAGCCTTTAAATTAAGTTAAGTACTTTTAACTTACTCAGGAATATTTATCGGAAAGCTACAATTTTAACATTTCTTTTGGGGCTCCGCGAATAATGGTCAACCTTTTCAGGGGCTCCGCAACACCAAAAGTTTGAGAACCCCTGCACTATTTGAGTCTGGGCAAGTCCGATAGAGCTTATTATTACGTAACAAATGCAAGTTTCGCGTCTGCCAAGGCTTAGGAATGAACGTACCGAATATCGTGTGTCTTGTCTGACAAACGACCCTACATTAACTTCCGCAGTAGTAGCATGCGAAAGTCTCACTCCAAGACTAGTGTGATAAATTTCATTCGCAACGGTAGCAGTGGCACCACAATGCCCAATTTTTCGAATTCCAAGCGAGTGAAGATTCGGACTTGGATTCGAAATTATAAATTAGATATATACTGTCATGTAACATTTATGGTTATTAGATAAATCATGGATACTTGGTAAGTTTTTTTGAGAAATTTCAACATTTATGACTAAAAAGTAGGCAGGCCTTAAATCTGAATTGTATTTGGATTGAATAAATCTTAAATAAGTGATAAAACCTTTACTCCGGGCACAATTACATAATCAAATTAACGAGTTGAATGAAACATAAGAATCCAACTTTTGTGGCGATTTAAGAATGCGCCCACAGAGCCGAGCTTGTTGGCAACGGTGGAATTTCTGTATTCGTGTGTGTAAATTATCTGCATATTCAGCACTCATTTTATACGTGAATGACCTTAATACCGAGCAGTCGATCGCGAGCTAGTTTAAAGATTTTAGTCAATCGCGGCCGAAAGCAGGTTGGCCACCCCTGGTGTAGCCAATAACGTACCAAGGGGGCAAATTCAAGATTGTTGGTGATATTCCGACGACAGGAAATTATAAAGTTTATATACTGACACAATTTGATGATATGTTATATCCGATGTTGCGACAATTTAATTTGAAAAATGACATCATTCAATTTACTCCCGAATAACCAATTACGACGAGAGATAAAATTTTTGTACGTGAGTATAAAATTCAACAATGATTATTCAAAATTATAATTAATATTACCAGTTTCATGATGCATTTCAGACAGTCGCACAGAATGCCAAGGTGTACCCACATTTGGACTAGTACAGACCAGGAAGGATGGGTTTCAATTGATTTGGTAAAATAAATTAGATAAACGCACGGTCACTTCACATCGAAAATTTTGAAGCAGATCACGGTTTTTGCAAATACAGGAAATTGAAAGTAATTCGCGTGAAACTTGATTTATCCGCGGTATTCTCAACAATTTCCATTTTTGTATACCAAATAAACATTTTCTGAGTTTCATGAGTTTAGTAATAACTTATTGCATTGTCATCTTGCAGCCGGCTCATTAAGCAGCTCTTCAGACCACATCCATTCGATATATGGCGACGTGGCATGTTGGTACTACAGAATTATATTTTGTTTAATATTTATTGGATACGACATATAGCTCCATATGCTAAATTGCTGTTGTCAGAAATTGCACTTCAAGATCGTGCTATGTTAAAAAAAAAGATGTCGTTATAGGGCGTTTAATTTTATTTTCTATTCTTCTTACGATGCCTATGTTTCACCCAAATATTCAAAACAAAAAAATTCAAGCGCGCACATTCATATATCATATATATATATATATATATTCGGCACAATTCTATTACCATTTCAAGTGGAATTCAGTACAATTCTTTCAACATTTGGCCACAATTTTTTTGACTTTGTAATTTATGACCTTCTTAGTCCTATATATTAATTATCAGAAAAACGCCTTTGTTCAAAGTATAGCCACAATGATGATTGAATATCGTTAAATGGTTTGTCCTAGTTATTGGACACGTAGTGGACATAACGATCGTTTCAAAATTTTGTTGTTATTGTTATTATTTGTCTCCATCAACACGTTTTGAAGAAATTGCTTTTCTCTTCGAATACTGGACCAATTGCTTTGAAATTTTCAGTGGTTAAAGATAAAAATTTTCTCCAGAAGGCTATTACTTTTTTTTTGCTATGACGTCATCAAAATTATGTGACTATACGTGTCCATATATTTGAGCATAGCTATCTTGTTCCATAATACGTTTCACTTTTTTGTTTTTAAATTTTCATCACTCTACCTCCTTCATGTCTACTATTTACTACTGTAAAATATGAGAAAACTGTGAATGTCTGTATGCATGGCAAGCGATCTTTCCAAAAGTTTGTTGGTTTTTAACACAAATTACAACAACGCAAAAATTAACTCGAATAAGGCTTTGATCAAGCTCATTATGCCTAAAAGGGATTAAATCAGTAATGTTAGGAATAAAAATGTACCTAAAGATGTTTGATTTAAAACGGTGAAAGACCAAGCGTTTTGATGACAGCTGTTCACTTCAAGCAAAATCTGAAATTAAGTGTAAACCACGACAAGGGAACTTTACCACAGAAATATATTTCTCAATTCGAAAGAAGAAGATGAGCATTGCACGATTCCGTGCGTCATTCTTGTACAGGGTCATGATATTCTTCTCTGTATCGTTCAAACGTTTCCATGCGTACACTCAAGAGTTCAAAGTGTTTGATGTATGTTAGTCGTTGATCTCAACCAAAGCCCGGTGTGTTCGTGTCGCCCTCCAGCGGTTTAATCACAACAGCCCTTGGGACATTGGCAACGGGTGATTGTTTGTTCACAAAGTAAATCGAGAAAAATGCGTTGATAGTGATGGCATAAAACACTTTACTTTCTATGTCGCACTGTTTTGTTTACATGGTAAAGTTCCCAGTCAGTCATGTTCGGATCTCTAGCAATCATTTGTGCAAGATAGCTTTGGACTTTAGGAAGATTGTACAGAACGACAACGTATTTGGGTATCGGGGGATTCGCAATGACAGAATGCGCGTGTATGAGGAGGGCTACTGTCTCCCCTTGCACAGATAACTGCTAATCGTAACTAGACGGAATATTTTCACCTTACCAACTTACATTCAATACCACTAATGTAAATTTTTGGGTTTATTATGAAGAAGCTAATGGACGCGAGTGATTAGAAAGTTTGGTAGATAATCTAGAAAGTTTGAGCGAATCAAACACAGAATGACTCCTAAAAAAATTAGCCAGCATTGTGTTTTGTTTGATTTAATTAAAACATAAACTAGATTCGATATAAGCCTATAACGTTACAAAAAATCCTCCAATCAAATGGGAATGTCATGTTCACTCTGCTCAAAACGGTACCTTAGCCTAATTGGTGAATTACTTTCCAAAATTTTATGAGTTCAAATCGTCAATATGAAATTAGGCTTATCCAGCATATTGTTTCTCTTTTTCATTGTTTTAACATTGCCGACTGTCAACTTGGTAATGGTCACTGGTCAGTGCACCAGTGAAAAATATTATTGTCATATTTGTGTGTCAGTCAAGATACCATTCATCAAACGAATTGTAAAATGGACAAATTTTGAATGTGTATTTTGATATCTGACCTCAACGATTTTAGTTGAATTCAGCCGAATTACTCAATAAATAAAAAACTATGTAGCCTACCATTACCAGACAAGATACCCTCGATAATTCGGCCGTGAATGGTTGTTTTCCATAGTTATTGGCAATCACTGATATTCTCGCAAAATTCAAACGCACGAATCGCAAACGTTTTTCACAAGCCTGAGACTTTCGTTTCTCCGCGAAATTTAAGCTCAAAGTCACATAAACGCGTGGCAAGACGACTACTTTACATGAGCAAAGCTGTTTGTGAGCCTTGAGCCATCGTTGTGAAATGTGGTGTTGAAGTAGCCATCTGTGGAAGAATTAAAATATTCTATCTGGTCAAGGTTAGTTTCAAGTGTATCTGAAATGGTTCGAAGATATTTAACTGGGACATAATGAAACAAACTTGTTTGGGCAAAACACTTCTAATATCCTAATACTAGAGTATCGTCTTTTCAGTGTTACTTGCTACGTTGTGTTAACTTATATGTCTTTGTCGCATATTTAAAATGATGTCAGAAAGGCAGCCATTGCAAATTTTGGACGACAATAAGCAAAATGGACAAAAACGTATCCAGCCATCTCGAGCTGCTAAAACGAGTCACAAATGGTTTTCATCAAGAAATGATAAATGCGTTGGGAAAACAGCATACGGAAGGAACGAAATGGGATGTTCCTACATGCAATCAAATGAGAAGGAAAATCAGTGTACAAGTGGCAAACCGTAAGCATAAGTTTTGTAACAACTAACAACCTACACCGATGTGATGTAATGGGCTGATAAGCATTTAAAATGTACATGTTAAATTTTAGTGAGTGTAAGAATCTAGCAACAAAAACCGGTATAGGTTAGAAAGAAAATAGATATACCATGATACGACTGACTACTGTCTTTGAAGCCCCACAGGAACAACCGCAAAAAAGACGGAGCCCGTTAGACTATTTTCGGGTTGGTTTTCAGGTTTGTGTTCATAAGAATGTAGCTTTTGACTCTGTCTGTGCAACTTTTCAGATACATTTATCATTATGCAACTTAACTTTTGCTTGTGGTTTTTAAGGATAATATGTCACCTGAACAAGTTCTTCAGCAAATCAGAACAAACCAACAGTAAAGATTCATCTCGAGTCATCAGGCTTCCGTTACAGGCATTAACGGTACCTTCAATGAAGCCGTTAGGCTATTTCCATTCCGCGACAGAACGAAACGAAAGTGAAAATACGTCCAACAAAATCTCATTTTTTCCGCCAATACCAAAAAGTCCAATTGATAGTGATAATTCGATGTCCATTAGCTTGGACACTATTTCTGAAACATCATTCTTGGATTGTGAAGATACCGAAAACAAAACAAACGATTCGGCATTCTTTTCGTCGACTCAAAGTAGTATACCATTCGTCGATTCACAGGAATTTGAAAGTGAGAGCGGAAGCCAGCCATTCAGCTTGGCCAAATGTACGATAAGCAGACCTTCTAGCCCTGCTGATAGCACAACCGATGTGGTAGATGAATACTTTCCTGACATTTTATCATACATGAAAGAAGCTGAAAATCGATATCGACCACGCGGTGACTTTATGCAACGCCAGCCAGAAATAAGTTCTACCATGCGGACGAAATTGGTTGATTGGTTAATCGAAGTTCAGGATGAGTATAAACTCGAAAATGAAACAGCTTCACTAGCAGTTGCATACTCTGATCGATTTCTTTCTATGATGTCCGTTACCAGATCTAAGTTACAACTTCTCGGCACAACGGCGATGTTCGTAGCTGCAAAATACGAAGAAATTTATCCGCCCGACTCGGACGAGTTTGCTTACGTTACTGCAGACACTTACTCAAAATCTGAAGTCCTGTTGATGGAAAGATTACTACTTCGCGTTCTTGGAAGCAGCCTGGCCGTACCAACAGCAAACCAGTTTGTCGGACTCCTGCTTCACGTGAGTTCGATATTTCTCGACATTTTTATTAACTCGTTATTTGTGCAAATTTTGTAAATTGCATATCAACATGTTTAATGACATGTTCATCAACCCATTTTATAGTTTTTCTCTCAAACTTTGCGAGTTGCTAGTAGTGAGACTTTTCTCCCTAAACGCACTGTACACTTGCATGAGCAACAAAGCGACGGAATTCCGATCTCACAGTTTCAATCTGTCATCTCGTCAATTAGTCTATGATTATGTAATATATACCTTGTTACGGTACTTCACTGGGACTAGGTGACTTGTCGCTCGCTGTCTTGTGGAATAACATTGCGAACTCATACTCAGACCCACATCGTCTTTACATCAGTACTGACCTTATCGGTATTTAAGAGTTTGCAACCTTTATGCTCACTTGGTGTCGTTTATTTCATGATCAATCCAACAGTGGATTTAAGGTAAGTGAGTGGGTGAGCACAAAACTTATATTTTTTATTCACAGAATTCTAACGCAACTATCCAATTTCGCTCATTTGCAACGTATCTATCTGAAATAACAATGTTATACGATCGATATCACAAATATTCATACTCAGTTCTTGCAGCTTCGTCTATTTCCGTAGCAAGTTTCCTGGCAAAGAATTTTTCATCTCTTCTCGAAAACGGCTCCAAGGATATTATTCAAGGAAAAGGTTATTTTCATGAAAAAAAAAAAATATATATATAATAGCTTGAAAATGAAATTGCTTTCAAAACCTGCATGCAACTGAACAAGATTTATCAAATTCTTATTTTATATATATAACAAAAAATTTTGCTTTGGCATGGATAGCCTTTATTAATCTTGCGATGGAAAATCTGTATAGGAATCTCATTTTAGTTAATCAAGTGGCATTTGGGCAACAGTCGTTATCAATTATTTTAATAAAAAATAGTTAAGGTCACGTACATTCTATAACAATTTTCGTCTATGTCGTATATATATATATATACATTCCAGGTGTTGATAAAATTACGAAAGATTTCTGTAAACTGCACTCAAATCCTTGCAAATTATCATCGATTGTTCGAGCCTACATGGAAGATTATCATGACGAGGTTTTGTTATTCATTAAAACTTCTTTTTTAAATTATTTCTGAAAACTGTTCAGAGCAAGGTCACTAGCATTCCCCGAAAATGGAAGGAAAGCTGGAAACCATATTGGTGCTTTGGAATTTAAAAGATTCAAGATAGTGAATTTTCAGAATTTATCGTTTTCTACTGCAGTGTTTTCCGATCGGTAATAGATATAGTAAAATATCTCTCTACTAGGGCTGGGCATTTCGAATCGAATAGTAAATTATTTGAATCGGTTCAGACGAAAATTTGAAATCGCCCCCATCTTTTTTTTTGAGGTAAATTCATCATTTTTTGTTGAAGCAATATTTTTTAAATGTAATTTTGACATATATATGAACATTTTCTTCCGAGTGATTCATTGATGAAACACGTTTCTTATTGTGTGTGGACACTAAGCGAAGTGTCTGAGTGACGAATTCCATGTTTTCTGGAGGATTCTTTACAATAATAAAAGTCGCATACAATTACCAATTTTCCTAGTGTTCGAGATTCGATTCTGAAATCACCGGTATTCGAAAATGCTCAGCCCTACTCTCTACTAGACAAGTCAGTAAACTACAGCTAGATGAAACATTATCTGTTGTCCTGCAGACCCCTTTATTCATTTTTCTCAGATATACGCTTGTTCTTTGGAACTGTTTATCAGTCACAAAGAAATTAACTCAGCGCCTCAACAATTTGTGAAAGAAAAATATTCCAGTAAAAAACATCACAAAGTTGCACTTATCCCGTCTTTCTCTGTTTCTGAGTGTCAAGAGTCAGGAGTTGTTACTCCTTTCGTGTTTGATCGTGAAGTTTTGTTGTCTATTTGGACGTGAATTCCGAACCTAATGGTTACAATCTGGTCCAATCGATATAACATCTTTCCGAAGAACAAATCAGGCTCGATATCATCAGGAGAGCTTGGATTTCAACAACCCTCAAAGTAGATATTGCCAAGACTATGTTCAAAGTATATATAATGAGAGAAGATTCAATAAATGCATGCATATTTTTTTACCGGATGCAGCACACGATAAACTATACAGAAGTAGAGCATCAAATAGTAGTATTCAGTGCGCTGCACCTGTGCATAATTTTAATAACAAAATTAGTGTTGTGAAAATCGCAGTCGGTGTTACGAAAATTTCGTAATAAATTATTCTGCGCTTTTAATAGAGCGTTTCGCCTAGATTCGAGATTCACTGCATATTAGTCGCATTAATCAATATCAAGGTCGTTTGTGTATACGCAGACATTTTTGAGATCTGTTGACCGGTTAGTCAATTTTGTTTTATTACTGACTGACTTGCTATAATTAGCGGGAAGTTTTTCTGCTTTGTGTTTGCGCCCCAAAAACACGCTTTGTTGAATTGCAAGATTTTATGTCCTCGGAAACTATATTATCTGAACGTAAATAATTTTTGAAAGTTCCAATGAAATGTGTTTGCTGTCCAGTATTATATAAGTGTGCATTTATATTTTTTGTCAGAATTTATATTGTCAATATTACCATAGATATATATGTATATACAGAAATCTCAAATAGAATATATCAAATATATATAAAAGTAATGAAATTTGTTTTTAATGGAACAAGCGATTAGTATTATTTTAGTGTTGTATTGTTGTCAATGAAATGTCCTTGCTGACCAGTATTATATGAATGTGCATTTATGTTTTGTATGAATTTATATTGTCAATAATACCATATATATGTATATACACACATCTCAAATAGAATATATATATCAAATATAATATAAAGGTAATGAAGTTTGTGTTGAATGGAACAACAAGCGATTAGTATAAATTCGTAACGCACCAAAAGTGAGCTTGTATGTGATTAAGTGGGTAAAACAAGTCTTATATTCATGCAACTGCCCTCGGCACTAAAACCCATTAGTCGGGTGCCCCTGAACCGGGATTTCATGGAGTTCCGTAAAACTCTTACTGTGGTTCGGTGGGAGTCTCGTTTCTGAGTGGACATTTTTCTAAAGAGTGTGATATTGCATTGAGCATCGGAGTCACGATTTAAGAAGTTCGTGAGAGAAACGCAAGAGAAGAATTTATTGCATTTTGAAGTCAGTCGTATCTATGACCAAAATAGTTGACTGTCATAAAATTTTTTTTTTTTTTTTTTGAAAAGATTTTATTGATAAGCCCAATATCACTCCATGTGCTTCCCAAAGACAAAAAAAGTTGAACAACACTGCACTAGTTGTTAATGAAATAAAACTAGCACTCACCGGTAATTCAACCCGCGAATTTGTAAGAGTCATCAAATTTTGAGACGGAGAAAATATCATCATAGATAAAATGGATATCTGTGACAGCTTGTTTAGTCAGCGATTAAAGCGTCTTTCCCTTTTTCGACTCAAGATCAACGCAAACGAAAGCTGATTCCGAATCATTAAGAGAATAAATAACTAACAAGCTCACATTGTTATAGGACGGTATGACCGAGGAGCGCAGTAATTAATTTCCTCTCACCGAGATTTTGACCAAGGTTCGGAATTGTGGCGCGTCGTGCTAAGCGTCAGGAATACGCTCGTCTGATTACCATCCGTGGATGGGTGCAATCAGGTATATATAGGCTTTGGGTGCAATGAAACAATTAAAAGTGCCGTATTGCCTTGCAGCGTCGCCTTGGGGGGATGCTGCTGTTTTCGCATAAAAACGTTTCGCGCTGTGCAAATTTTATAGCCATAAGTTGTAAGCTATTTTAAGGTTGCCGCTGACAAGTAAACCGAATGGTCATTTCGCGGTTATCCTGCCATCCGGTACAAATATTTTCGTGATCTTTCTTGTTTTCATTTTGTTATGCTTTGCCGGGATGGCTAATAAAAAACGATATGATTGATTAATGTGCGAGAGGATTACTGAATACTGGACTAGGTGGTTCACGTTACCGGTACCGCCAGTCGATTACAGCTTCCTCCGCCATCATGTTCATTCACGTGAAACAAATAACTGACCAACCAATCCCACCGTACCACAGAGTCCGTGGTTCGCCATATGATTAAGCCGTTTTATTGCTTTCTCCTCGGAATAAATATGTAAATCTTCTCCTAACATGGAGTTTGGGTTGAGCTGATGAACAAACGTACTATATAAATAACTCATTTTGAATCTTTTCATATATAATCACGTGTAAACTGCGAAAAGAAATCTATTTGATAATGACATTAAAATTTAAAAAAACCTTTTATAAAAATAGGTAAATTTGCTGATACAGTGAACACATCTATTTTCACAGTGGTGCCTGAATACGTTTTACAGAGATTAAAATTTTTGTAGTTGGTTAGAATATTACTAAAGGCATCCATGTGGAGTTAAATGAAGGTAGCATCAGCCCAAGTTAATCATACTCATAATGTTAACGAAAACAAAAAAGATGCATTCACCTATCGGATGAATGCAGTTATATGATACTATAGTCAAAACTTCAAATATCGTTTGACCATAGCTGTAGTATCAATTTTCCCTCCACCAAAAAAGGTTGTTTTCTATCATTATCTATATTTACTGTACGCGCAATCGCTATCAACACTTCAAGATTTAATGAAAGTGTTTAGTCGCCAGGCAGTACTATTCTGATTGCATAAGTCAGATCGATGAGATAATCAGAAGGGAATTTGTTTTTGGTAACCAAAACAAATATGAATTTCTGAGCTCGGTGGTGTTGGAATTTGGATTTCTGATATGCTTCACCATCTTCTGGTTTCACAAGTTGCATGTACCTTGAAATACATGGAAAAATATGTCTTCTTTAATTTATATAAGATCTCTGGCTTCTTACTGGGTTCGAATTCACAGGGCTATGGAGTCAATGAAAATTTTTCAATCAATTTCGACACACAGAGTTGAGAAAAATTTTAACTCAAGACTCCGTCTCCGACCACAGCGAAAATTAGATCTTGATGGCAAAAACATTCAAGCCCCCTTTGATAGATATATATTAATATCACTTAGTAAACTTGTTGCCATTTAAGTTTACGAAGAAAATTTTAACATTTATTATCACCATTGAAATTCGGGGGCGGACACCCGGGGGGGCGGTCGCCCCCCCAATAATTTCGCAAAAAATTTTAATACATGTTGTTTCCGTCTTACAAAATTATCATTTCCGAAAAGTGCGATAGTCAAGCGCAATTAAACGGTTATTAGTTACCGATATTATAACTGTTTTCTTACAATAATGTGGACCAGAGCGCCCTGGGAGCACCTCACATTTTCGTGAAACATGCGCGCCCGCACGGGTAATACTCCGTCTTCAGACGCACCGCCGATCACGCACCACGGTTTTGCACAGCTAATTCATTTTTGTACAATTTAATATGGTTTTCTCATTGTCAAAATCTTTCAATAGTGTTATTGTTGGCACTTGCGATAGAAGTGAAAGAGGCAAACTGTATTTCATTACAACAATTAATTATTATCGCTAAAAAATTGACTAGATCTGAAGTTTTTATAAACAATTTCCACCGCTGGACGTATCTTTTCAAGTTATGGATTTCGTGCAAGGCCCAGCATAATTTGCGGGAAAAGATCAAAGCAATTACTATGTCGAAACGCCTATTCGACTTTTAGGACCACAGAAACTATCTAAAAAAGATACCCACCCCTTCTGAATTTTTTTGAAAACTGAAAAAGTCGCCAATAACGCGTGCAATTGCCTTTTGCTAAAATCGCCGATTGTTTTCATCATTGTGACCTATAATTTGGGTCGTAAACGCCTTTACGTTGGCGTTTATCCTCTCTAAATCACAAATTTTCCACAAATTTGTGACACGATGACTATGATAATTATTTTATTTTCGTACAAGCACGGACTTATGAACCCGGCGAGAATTCTAATAAGTATCCATAAGTTGAAAAGCGGAAATATAAAATACTAAAAATAAAACTGTAAACAATATAAGTTTTGTTGAGGCCCGCGACAGTCTAAAAACGCTTTTCTAGGCATCGAAAATCGCAAAATTTTGTGTCACAAATTATGTTTGCTTGACCTTTATAAACATTTCGTCACTAAAATCGAAACACGGTCAATTGTGAGCGGGATTAGACTTTTTATCCTTTACTTTTAAATTGACGTCGAAAATTGTCGTGTTAACATTAAACAAAGCTGTGAACGCGACTTTTTCTCGGTTTGTAATGATATATAAGATAATTAAAGTATATTCGATCAATTGTTGTATTTATTTATGTATTTTTATTGTACTGAAATAACTTTTACTACGTGAGAATTGACAGAAAATTTACGGATTTTTCGAAAGGTTTTATCTTTAAAAATAATCGGTGTGACAACATTGCGATTGAGCAGAGCCAGTGTTACAAGTACATCTCAAATTTATCGAATTCGCAAAATAGCAAAAATACGGATCAAAACAATATATAAACAGGCTGTTGACCACACATTTTTATGTCCGCGGATTGCCGTGGTGTTTTAGAGTGGCTCTTGTTTTGTCGACTCACCGCAGTTTAAATTGAAGACAATTAAATTAATAAATCAAAACATTTTGAGTATACCCGATTACTTTGCACAAGTGAAAAATCATTTTTCGTTGGGAAAGTCCGGCTCTTTTAACAAGTGGCGCGAGTGTTCTGTGTGGATGGTGAATTTGTATTTTTGATTTACTAGTATACTTTATAATTATTTTCATTGTATGAAGTAAAATTGTACTATATGGGATTTTATATCAGATATCGAGATTTTTGTAACGGCGATAACGAGTTCGGAGATTGCAAAAATACGTATCAAAATTAATTACATAAGGCAGCTTATCTCATATTTTTATGTCCACGTAAAGCCGTGGTACTTTAGTTTAGTAATATTTTTATTTTGACGTAAGAAGTCGCAACCGCGAGTTACATTGCACACAATTAAATTAATATATGACATTTTAGAATCTCGTGGCTGTCATGGATTGAATGATTTACGCGACAGAAAAATCATTATACGCTTAAATAGGGGCTCTTAACGAGCGCGTAATCGCGGTGTTTGTTGCAGACGGCAATGGGAAGTTCCGACTTTCCTGGCTGCGCGCCTGAACTTGTGCCTGTTTATTTTCGTATTAAATCATAAAAAAAAAACTCCAAAGTCATTGCGTGAATCCTGAATGTTATTTTGAGTTCAAATAATGACCTAATAAATCGGCAATAATGGCAATTCTACTAGTCAAATGATAATTCCTTGGTAAAATTTAAAAAAAAAATCGCACAATAGCTTGTTACCTTGTTTTGCATCTCTAATTTTACGAAACGGCGTTAGTGCGCTTTATGCAGAACTAGGAATTGAAACAATAACCTAATACGACCCCTCAAATTTGTTATTTTCTGTTTGTTAGCAAGAGCCCTGGGCTAATTCTCGCGGAATTCAAGAAATTGGTTCTGTGACGCGCAAGTTCCGTGTCTAAGCGAAGCATCCTAGGTACTCGATATATGAGTAGCAAAATGACATTCTAATACTTAGAGAATGACATCGACAGGTTATTGTTACGTGACGATACACGGCGCTGTGAGGCGAGGTAAATTGAGGAAAGAGCACACAATATTAAAATGGCTCGCATATAAATGAAATACCTTTTCAATTTTGTTTGTTTTGATGCAGATAGATGAAAACAAAAAAAATTTATATGGATAAATATAAAATACATTTCCCATAATTTGTATCTAAATATATGCCAAGTTGCTTACTTTTCTTCTTGAAGAATTTCCTTGCTCATAATATCCTGCATCAAATTTGGAAGTATTTCATTGAAAATATCTGAGATAGTATCAAACATATCAACTTCAAGCATATCCATGACCATTGGCTTCCCGAACCTTAAAAATATCAACATTTGACTGGTAAGTCATTGGAAGTATTAGAATCATTGAACATTTGTCCATTTGTAATGAGCAAATAACATGATAGCAAGTTGCATTATTCTTACCATGTCGATTGTTAATTAATTAACTAACAAATTGGGATCCACAAGTTTAAATTCCTCCAAATATTATTGGTATGCATTGATGGCCAGTGGGGAACGATTGGGTGAAAGAGTATTATTTGAGACATCTAGCAATAATATCTACACATTGAAACGAGTAGTATGTAGAGATACTAAATATCTACAGACAACCAGAATTAATTAATATTCCATTGAATTAATATTCCAAACACAAGAACCATACCTTATAGAACCTAGCAATGCCAGTCTTATCACATCTGGTTGCATCTGTTGAGGATTTAGTGCACATAAGTAATTTGTATCTCTGTATCTCAAGAACGTTGTAGCTTGACCTGTAGGATCTATAAGCATGGGCCATTTTCCAGATTCCGTGATGCGATTACCAACATCCCTCATTAAAACTTCATCCAATTCTCTTATATTACATTTTACTCCTGGTAATGCTTCATCGCCACCTAACAAAATATATACTGATTGTGAAGAAGAGGAAGATAATTATATTTCTACTTGTGGAAAGAATTTTTAATTTATCTGGGGGGAGATAGTCAATGAGGCGGCTCAATAATGTGGTGAACCACGGCCTCTTGTCGGATCACCAATCCATGTCGGGTATAGGATTAGTTACAGATATTTGTTTCAGATGCTTGGACTTGGTGAAAGAAGCTGTAACTGACCAGCCATTATGTTGACTACCCTATTGCGGCAAGTAGTCCAGCAATCCTCTTGCCTATAATAATCTCCTCTGGGACTCGAATCTGCAAACTCGTTCAGGTAATCAGAAATGCGATGGTAGTTGTATTTCTAATGCTCAGCACAATGCACCAACCACTTTCTTTTTTATAATCGAAAAATGTCGAACAACCACTTTCTTTTCTTTTATTACGGTAATCAAAAATGTCGAAATAAACCACTAACAAAAATTGTAATTTCTATAAATTTAAAATAAGTATCACTAAAGAGTATCACTGTCATCTTTAGAAAGCACATACTGACATCTGGTTTAAAAGTCACCATTCACTAATTAATCAAAGTCTTACCTTCATGCTGTTGTTCTCTGAGTCTCAATCGTGCTTGTTCTAATTTACTTCTAGCTTTATCTGCATGGAGTTTCGCAATTTCAAGTTCACCTTCCGCGTCGTGAAGAGCCTATAATAAAAATATGGTGAATGCAAATCAGTCGGATTACTGAAACCAATATTGTAATGGCAAGGAAAGTCAAAACTTGATTTTTGTAATCTATATAGTCTACCTATCCTAGCAGCAATATAATTTGACATGTTCATTGTCTTGGCTTTGGACAGAAAATAAAATATGATAAATTTCAGGTCTGAATACTTGGAGATCAGCGGTTGTATTTTCTGGATATACATGTATTTATCCTGGGGGAGAGAAAAGCCTATAACGCGGTTTAACCAAATGGCAAACCCCAGCCTCTCACCTCTCAGATAACATTAAGGTACATGTCGGGCATAGGATTGGTAGGCCAGGTATTAGCTTTCAGATGCATGGACTTGATGGATGTTACACGCACCACTATAAGGCAGCGAGGAGTCAAGCAATCTTCTTACACATAATTATTCCTCACAGGATTCAAACATGCAAACCCAAGAGGTGCAGTGACAAGTGTATGCCTAACGCTTAGCATGATGTGCAGCTCGAGTAAACGCGCCTAAAAGCATCGATACTTTCTTGAGAGTGTCAAATTTAAAGGATAATATGTAGCTTATTCATATTAAAAAATAGCACATAGACAAGCTTGTACTGCGAAAAATAATTGGCATAATATTGGTATTTTCTCATGGTATTACCTGCAATGTTATTTCTGTGATAGATGAATCTGCACCCTGTGTAGTACATTTATCATGCTCATGTATTCGTTTTTCCAATTCCTGGTAAGCTTTTTGTAGTACTCTCTGTTCAGATTCATATTGTTTTTTGATTTCATTTAGTTCGTCTTGCAATCTATAAAATTCAAGTAAAATGAAAAATTAAATATATCTTGCACTAGCAGCAAAATATATCTTTTCTTGCTTATTAAAAACAAATTGGACCATTGATCATTTTGCAAGATTGTTGTTGTCGCAACTAATGTGTCAATCAATTTACAATTTTCTGTACTCAAAGATGGAAGAAAGATAGAAAGATGTTAATTTTTCTTCTTAGAATTTTCCCATAGAGTTATTCCTACTTTTTTGCGAACACATTACATTTGATAAAATATTTTCAACATTTTACTGTAGTTTTGCTAACATTGCACTGGCCATATTAATCAGTTGACCTATGTGTACATATATTCGATCATTGCTTTGCTTCAATAGCCACACTATTTGAGTATTCCAGACTTGCGATTACTCCCAATTAGTGAAACTGAATCTAAATTGAAGCAAAATCAAGTAATATTTTAATTCTTTATTAAAAGTAAGTAAATAGTACCGGTAATTCGAAGTAATAAGTAATTTGGGTGATATAGTAATTCTAAATAACTTTTTCAAACAACATGATTTCAAAGTTAATTAAAAGTTAAGACTAAAGTGATTAATACTATTATCAATTACAACATCACTTGAATATTTTGTATTGGCATTCTAATTCTTAAGTAATATCCAATGTAAAAAACGTGAAACATTATTTAACATACTGATTTGTTTCAGCTTCTTTTCTCATTCTATCTTCTTCCAGGCGTTTCTCTCTTTCAACTACCATTTTTTCGAGCAGACTATCAGTCATCGAAACATCCCAGTTTTTCAAAACTTCAATAATCGCTTCTACTGGGCTCACCTTTCAATAAACAATGTAAATATACAATAACATAGTAAGACACATGATACAAAGATATCAAATTTAAAAAAAAAAAAGTTCAACTAAAATTTTTGTTCAGTGTTTCATTTAATGTATTCTGCATGACCATTGGTTCTCAAAGTGGGGTCAGCGGTCGCTTAGGGGTCCGCGAAGCGATTTTAGGGGGACCACGAGACAGCTTTTCCCTCGGCACAGAAGCACTTTGATTTGAAGTTAAATTTTGATGTCATGCTTTTACAGTGTTTCTCCAAAGCACGACACGCTCTACCGAAGACATTATTACGTAACAAACTTTGGTGAACATGGCCAAAGCGTATTGTTTATGGAAGATGTGTGCATCTGATTGTAAATTTTCTTGGCGTATTCTAAAAATGCCCTCCCATCATAAAAAATAAATTTAGATATAATGATTCATATGTGAAATATGATTTTGCTCTGATGAGTGCTAGAGAAAAAGGAAAACCACAGTGGCACCGTCCTATCCCGAAGATGGCCCTAAAATCGCTTCTTCCATTTACAACAACTTACGAATGTGAGGCAGCTTATTCTACGTTACTCGTTATTAAAACAAAATGTTGAAACGTGAAACATGATTTGAGAGTTGAGTTATCCAAAACAGAACCCAAGGTAGAAGCCAAGCCGGCTCATTGAACTATTTTAATGTCATTCAATAAATGAATGCTTGATATACCGCGTTGATATTTGCTTTCATCACTTTGGTGGATCGCGAGTCATCAGAAAAATTGCAAGGAGACCGTTATGCATAATTTTTCAGAAAGTTTGAGAACCACTGTGCAAGACCATACATGTTCAGGTGCATTTCCATCTTCAGCAATTATTCTTGGATCTGCTCCATATTGAAGAAGTGATTCGACTGCATCTAAATGTCCACCAAATGCTGCCCTGTACAATGGTGTTCTTCCCCATGCACCTACTGAATTAACATCTCCCCCTAAAACAGAAATTAGCAATACCATTTACTGTGATAAATTAAAATCATGACAAATTTTCCCCGAACCACCCGAACCAAACAAATTCCCCCGACTCCACAGCCCGGATGGGATAATTATTATTATTTCATTAATTTAGACGAAACAAATAAAAACTTTGTGAGCTGTGACATGGTTTTGAGTGCGACGCGAAATATCAATCCATTATCTAAAAAATTATTTCTTACCAGCCGGCTTTTAAAACTTGTCAAAAAATGATGAAAACTATTAAAAGGAGTGATATTGAACATTCACGTGCACAAAAACAAACTCATAAATGGTACCGAATAAATGTGCAAGTGTTGTACATTTTTGCCCTGTCATAATTTATGTTAATGAGGTCAAATTTTCTTTCCACCAGTGACATGAACTACAGAAAGTAAATGTGTGGTAAACTTGAAAAGTTTGGGAACACTAATATGGTACTGTACAACTAAAAAAAGAATAGCATTGGTGCAGCTGAACAAAATCAGGCAAGACATGGTCAATTTGGCTGTCAAACCCCCAAGTAGTGGTTGTCAAAAAATTTAATTGATACAAAGAGAACAATAGCAAATTAAAACTATTAATACTATACAACAAGGATATATATTAACAATGACTTTACTTCAAGCATAAATATTAGGAGCGCACCTCTTTCAACTAAAAACTTGATAGATTCTGAACTTCCTCCAGCTGCTGCCTCTGACAATGGAGTGTTCCCATTTGCATCTTGGCATTCAGTAACAGCAATCATATGATTCCTTCGGATAACTTTTCCCATTTCATCATTGGGAACACCATTTTTTGTATCCAAATTACTGACCTGATTAATAGGTAAATTGAATACCTTAAAGTCCCCATAAGTAAACAAACTTCAATCGTTTTTGTTACAAATGAATAATAAAAGTCTGTTGGAAAATTCACAATACAACCATGTTGATTTAGAAAAAATGACTTACAACTAGCAATATTAGGTTTCGCATTACGAGTATGAGTTATCACTATTGCATAATAGCTTATATTATGACCAATTAATTGAGTAAATAATCAACTTACTTTAAAATGGCAACAAGGTGAAATTATTAGTAAACAATGGAAGCGGTGATTTTTAGAATTCAGTTTCGAAAAATTGAATGTGCTCACAATTGTCAAACTCAAAAATTAATCAGTCGACTTTTATTATCAGAGCACTTCTCAAAATAATGACTTGAATGCAAATTAGTTTTGAAATGACTAATCCTACTTCTTTCAAAATATTTTCCATTTCCTCCAAATCACCATCAAACGCTGCCTCCAACATTCTCCCTCTCCTCTTGGCTTCCTCCCGTTTCCTTCTCCGCTCCTCATCCTCTCTTGCTTGCTCACGCTCGGCAGCTTCCTGTTCTGCTTTCACCATGGCTACAAATGCCTATATGTAGTAGGTAAAATAGTTTCAATAGCATGTTTTTGCAGTTGGTGAGTTTTAAAATAAACACAGAATGTCTATTACAGCCTTTTAAAATATTATAGTATGTTTCCAAAAACGACTGTGTCAATATCCAAATACATGATTTATAAAACACATGAAAATTGGGATTAGGGTACATCAAATAACTGTTTTGTGTGTTTTAAACCTTATTAGAGATTTTGCCAGTTTTCCTGATTTTTCCAATCTTTTGTGTGTTCATTGTTAAACTTTGTATGTATGTATGTATGAGGGTACCAGAATAAACTTATACCTATACCTCTCTTTGTAACTTTTCAATCATTTCATCATATTCAATTCTTCGGTTTTTCAGTTTTTTTAACTGACATTGAGAAAGAAATCTACAATGCAACCAAATAGAAGTTAATAAAAATAGACTAATCAGAAAACTGAATTCTATTGTCTTAACTAATGCATGTTTTAATTATGTTGTTTCAATCCCTATATCTTCATACCTTTATGATAAATAAGAAAATTTAAACTTATATCACAATTGCAAGTTTTGTTGTTTTATAATTGAAATATACAACAAAGTTTCTTAATATTTTTCCAAATTTATAAATGAAATTCTTAATAACAAAACAGTAAGGATAATACAATAAAGATCAACTACCTTCTGATGTATTTTTGAATCACAATCGCAGCTAAATCTTGAGGTGATGGCCCTTTCTTCTCCTCTTTCTTTGGTGCAGCTTTTGCTGGTGGAGCTTTTTTGCCTGGTGGTCCAGGTTTTTTATTCGCAGTATCTAAAAAATTCACAGTCATTATAGAGTGAAATAGCAGACACAAGTAATTTAGTAATAGAATCTTACTCTGTTTTTCGGGTGCATGCACACAAATCGCAATCCAATGAAGTAATCTTATTTTACCATATAATGAGAATGTATACATATAATAAATGTGATAAAAATAGGTGAAATCGGAAAAATTAAAAAGTTTGAACAATTTAGCAATATCCAATTTTCTCAAAGTTCTGTTTTTATATAACACAGCCCAAGACTATGTAAAAAATGCAGCAAATTTGATGAAATTTCAAATTAATTCAATAAAAAGATATAGATATCGACTTTCATTTTCTAGATGTGATTCAGTCCATCCCATGTCAAGGAGTTAATCTGTGCTTGTGCTAATTACAACAAATTTTAAAAAATCATTTCTTTTTCATACTTGCTGCTGGCTTCACTGGCTGTTTTTTGTTAGAAACATTCCGTGCAGCAGGCACAGATGCCTTGGCTGGGGGTCTTTTTGGAGGCATTATTATTTGGTAATATCAGTCCATGATAATAGTTTCATTCACATACTAATGTAATTGACTAATGTATGTGTGGTTTATGACAAATAAAAAAAAAGAATGAGTAATACCAAGCACAGCAAAATTTCAATAAATGCAAAATCCTACGTCAAGCATTTGAATACAAAATAAAAGATGAGTTGTACTAAGTACAGCAAAATAGGGATATAAGCAAACAATGTGTCTGCATACTGGCATAAAGTTTTGTTCACTTTATATCCAATTTGATTAGATCATAAATTGGCATAAAATATTATCAACTTCATTTACAGTAAAACATATGATCCATGCTTGGTCAAACATGACAATAAAAAGAATACATTGTCGAAATGAAACAAAATAGTCATGCTTGAATCATTTTCAAAAACGAACAACAAGCTTTAAATGAGTCACTGAATATCAAGTTTCCGCACCACAAGAGAGTTAGGCAAGGTAAATAAGGTATTTTCCAATGAAGAGACAAAAAAAAGGCAAATACACCTACACACGTAGGCGTATTCTATAAAAACAGTCATGCTTCATAATCAGGATCAGTCTACCATAACTATTTCTTGTGGACCAAAATAGTTCTTCAATCAGTCAGTGTATTACGATGGAACAAACAACAGTTGGAGGATTGTCAGAAGAGCATGTTGCAGATGAAGAAGTAAAAAAATTATGCGAATCGGTAAGAAATCCGACCTTAATAAAGCATTGAAATATTGGACAGTATATTGTTAGGGACACAAACAAAAAATCATATTTCAGCATGGCATTATAATTTTGTTCCCAGACCATATACAGGATGTCCATAAAGTCCCTTTACAATTTAGATTTTGTTATGGAGTCAGTTCTCAATATATCTTAACCAGGTTTGTTGCTTTTTAATCAGTAATTATTCAAGCGTTTTTACTTCATTTAATACATCTGTGAGGGCCAAAACAATATATTATGGTATCGATGAATTACACTCGCAATTTTTTAAAATCTTAAGACTTTATGGACACCCTATATTAAATTTTATCATATATCATTGGATGAAACTTTCAAGATTGCTAACCCAAAATAATTTGTAATCAATATATAATAGTTAAACCTGAATGAACCCTTTGTGAGTTATGCCTTACTAATTTTAATTAATAAATAAGAAAATCCTGAATTGTTTTTTGAAACTTTTTTTTGACTTCTGAAAACACTTCCAGAATCCGGATGAAGGTTATATAAATAAATTGAATGTATCAAATGCAATATTAATTTTTGTTTCAGTATTGCTCGTAATACTGTATCAATTATATGTTTATAAATTTCACAAAAGCACTTGAATATAGAGAAAATACAGTGGTGACGTAGAATTATCCAACATATTGGCCTAACTACGTTTATTTCTTAAAACACCGATTTTGGACTCCCTGCCCTAGCTTGTCCAATCACCAACCCGAAAGTCAATCTCAATCAGGGTGTACCATATTCGGTAAGATTTTGATAAAAAAACTTTTTTGCTGTTCTTACTCATGAGGGACCAACCTCTCCTCCAAAGCCTAATTTGAGTTAGATTAAGAAAAATATCACAAAAAAATAGTTGAAGATCCTGAACAAATATTTAAATCATTTTCGAACAAAAACTAACTAAATGGAAAATAAATGAAACTCCGAAATCAGTCAATTTTTTATATTCAGGTGAAAGATGCAGCTATTGAAGAAGCTGGAATTAAATATGAAACATTCACACCAATTGCATATAAAACTCAAGTAGTGGCTGGGATGAACTATTTTGTCAAGGTAAAATTCTTCGATATTTTCTAAAACTATGACTATCCCATTCCTAATTTGATCAAATTATCAATAAATATTGAAAATTTAAAGTTTTGGTTAATGGCCCAATGTTGGAAATCTCACATAGGAATTCTCCTAATGAAACATTTAAAATTTTGTTGACATGACCAAAAATCCCTAGGCGATAAATACTTGAATAGTAATTTGGCACGATAGCATTTTTTGATAGATACAAGTCAGACATATTTTGCATACAGAAAAATAATTTGAAATTACATTATGGATTCAATTCCACTGACAGGTTCAAGTTGGAAGTGGAGAAAAAGACTACATTGTGTTGAGGATTTTTAAATCACTCGAAGGGGAAGCCACCCTTTCAAATCTGCAAAAAGATCAGACTAAAGATTCTCCAATAGAATATTTTTAGAGCATGTTGTTATTTCTATAATTCACAAGCATAGTCTCAATCACTAACTACACTTCCTAAACATTATAATAAACAATATCCATCATGTGATCTCTATTTCTTTTCTGCAAGGATTAGGATATAAAGGTTGGCTATATATATACCGTATATGATCTATATATATATATCAAACTTAATATCCTAAATAAAAAGTTTTCATGGTATGTAAAAATTTCTCATATTTTTATATCCTAATTTTCTAGTGTATTCATAAGGACCCCCTTAAAATGATCAGAAATTTATTTATGAAGACTATATAATCTTCCACGCACAAAATGTTTTATAGTTTGAAGAAATAATATTATTTATTATATTAATATTTCTCACGCAATTAGAGTATAATTTGTTTGTCATCTACAAACCCTTCTTAAAAAATAAAATATTCAAACATAATTTGGCACATCACAGTAACTATTGTCTATCAAGGAAGGCTTCAATTAATACCTGTCATATGTATGCAAAGATTGAGATTAAAATTGTAGTTTACAGCACATAAAGTGAAACATTTGTCATAGGACAGACATTAGACGGAACAGATATTTCCAGCCTAGAAAGGGAAGGCAATGAATATAGAAGCAGTAAATTCCAGCAGATTTGAAAATTCTTACAAAGAGTAATTCCCATATATAGACTAAATACTAAAATGATGCAAAATTTGTTTTCAACAAAAGTTACAATGATTATCTTAATAATGAAAATCTCATTTGTGTTTACAACAACAAACAACGGAGGAGGGCATATTGTGAGGTCAAGTCAACTCATACCAGACATTGAATCAAAAACATTTTCATCCTTCTGCTGTAATTCATGTCCAACTAGAATAAAATCCATTCCTTTCCAGTGATCAGGCTTTTTTATCATAGGATTATGTCTCAGATCAACTTTTACCATTGACGCAAAACTGAGCAAAACATCATCACTTACATTTTCAATTTTGTTGTTTGATAACAACACTACTCGTAAATTTGATATGTTAAGCAAAGGATCAGGAATTTTTTGTAATCTATTGCCACTAAAGCTTGCATATCTTAATTCTTGTAATTGATTAAATTCTTTTGGAACTGTGAAAAGATTGTTTTCTGCAAAAGATACCCATCTGAGCAATTTTAATTTTCCAATTTCTTTGGGAATAACTTCTAACTTATTACACCTCAGACCTAATTTTGTAAGTCTTTTCAAAAGTCCAATTTCTTTTGGTATTGTAAACAATGAACAATCATTTAACCAAAGTTCTTTCAAACTGATTAACTCCCCAATTTCTGGATTCAATGCCCCAAGAGACGTATGATTTGCACTGAGTATAGTTAATGCTTTGAACTTCCCAATTCCACTTGGTAAAAGAGTAAAGTTATTGTTGTCCAACACCAGCTCTTCCAGGCAAGAACACAACGACAGTAACTCCACCGGTGGTAGCACCAATCTGTTGTCATTCAATAAAAGAATTTTCAGATTCTCAATTTCATTAAAGTTTTGTGGTAAAAACGTAAGCCCACGGTGACTGACGTTTAAACAGTGATATTTCCGTATTTTAACCTTTTCAATCAACAACTCTACATCATCGTCCATCAGCCACTTGCATTTTTACTTCCTGAAGTCACAATGATTTTACAACCATGAAATCAAATACGACATTAGACTCAAATCGCATGGACATGGTAACAAGGGACGCCATTCTCCTTCTAGCGCCGCTTGTGTAAACACTTTATTATTAAACTCTTAATCTCAAAACTTTCGCTGTCGCTGTTGATCTGTCGCAGTTTAACCAAAGTCATTATATAACGGCTCTGGTTTTACTATACATTTCAGAATAATTTCTCCTGGTCAACAGAGAATTAAAAAATGTCACATAACAAAGTCATATTCATCTCGGTTGTCGATAAAAATATATTGAAGATGGGTCGATTATTGAATGTGCATCCGTATATTCAACATTTTAAGTAGAAAAAGTTCAGACTGAACATTGTTGTGCATAACGCCATAAAGATAATCTTAATCTAATCACAGTGTCAGTCAAGTCAGCGGCTCCCAAAGTGGGCGTCGATTCGAAGTGCTCCCCGAAAACTAACAGAATTGTGTTCTTCATCTACGGTTAAACCGCATGTGATTGGATATTTTACATATTGCATTTATTTTAATTGTTTTATTGTTTCTTACTTTGAATGCTGCGTATATGGATCAATCAAATCATTTCACCGTTTTATTTCGTTTACTTTCTGTTAGGTAGTGATTAACTCTGGGGACGTAACGTAGTTGCTGCAATTTATTTATTTACTGAACAGAGGTCAGTGAGCATTAGTGATTTTTTTAGTATTTTAAAGGAAAATCAGGCGGAGAGGAGGAAGAGAAGTTGACCATTTGTCTTTAGTCCTTATGCCTACATGTTTACTAACTTTAAAAGGCATGAAGTACACATTAACGATCACAAAATTGGGTTTTATTTAAAGGCAGAAATTTTGTTTCGTTGAAGTGCGCCATGAGTATTTTCCCTGGTAATTTGGCGCGAACGAACAAAAAGTTTGGAAATTCCCTGTTTGAACATTCCCTGTGATTTTTAACCTTACTGTAATCCATTTCTAACATCCGAAGACACCTTTACCAATCTATATATATTTGATAAAAATGGTCAATATTTATAAAGAATACAGTGAACTAAAATATTTAAAATATATAAGAACTGCTGATGTTTAGCATAATTTTGACCCTAATTTCAAGAAAATAATAAAGCTGATCAAAATAAAACCAACCAAACCGCGTCAAATTTTGATTGAATGTGACAAATGATACAACAACAGCAATTCTTGAAGTTGCATTATCCATATCAAAAATGTCCAATAAATGTTATTCAAGACTTTGAAAAAAGATTCATCTATAAAGCATAAAAATTGCTAATCAATCGAAGCATATCAATATTTTTGCTAAATAGCATATATACTACCAGTCCAGTATAATGATAAATCACAGTTTCAATATTTATTGAAAGGTTACACAGTTAAGTGTAAAAATGATCATTTACATTGCAAAATAAAAGATATCATATGCTACGAAGTATCAAGTTACCATATTCGAAATTTTTAATAAACACCATCACTGTTTATCTATGCATTTCATGTGCTAGTTCCTAAAAAAAGACTCCGTGTGTGTTGCACTCAACTCTCCATATTCATGACCTGACTGAATTTTTCCGGCTACATATTGGGTAGAGAAAGATCACTGGTTTCTGCATGACGACTTTGTGGTTTGTGAACCAAACCAGCATCACCAGCACACTAAAAAGAACCACGGATTCTAAATCATTATTAAGCTTATTGAGTAAACAGACTTTCCGAACAAAATGAACTTTACAAAATATGATGGGACATAATATGAATAACATATTTATCCTTGATAGAAGACAGTAGTTAGGATTTTAGCTATGCATTAATAGGGAGCTTCATGCCCAGTTGCATCGAACCAGCTGAACATTCATAATGCAATGGTGGTGGCAGCAATAAACTATCACCAAAAAGTAAAACACTCGTTGATCATGAGAGAAAAGCATTTCACATAATACTCTCCACTTACAGGATTGAGATAGAAACATACAACTCTCGCCTAAAATGAGTTACTTACTCTCCTTCCAAATATGAACATATGGAAATATTTGAATCGAAAGCAAGAGTGGCCACAGTAGCCATGAAACATTAGTTTTGTAACAGAAAAAAAAACAGAAAATTCAGGCGAAAGTTTGGATACTGGAAAATTTAGCGCAGAATTCAAAAATACATAATAAATATAAATAGCATAATCATAGAAACTCTAGAAGACTGTGTCAATGTGTCCATAAAGCCCAAATTACATATTAAAATATTGATCAAGAATAGTATAGTTATTTTATTACCTGTAGGCTCCCTGTTGCTTCTTCTTCGCCCTTTGTAGATTGACTGTGTATTGTTATTGGAGGTGGATAATTTACATCATCATGTTCTGAAACATCTGTTCCTTGGCTTGTGTGCCTTGATGATTCCTAAAACCACAATTAAAAATTTAATATTTCTTTTGAGCTTATCAAGAACATTCTACCAAATTCAACATTGCCAATTTAGCACATCAGAGCAAGATACCTTGGTTGAATGTTTGCTACGTTCTTCTGAAATTGATGGAGTTTTAACTTTCTGCATCTCTGCTTTATGCAATTTTTCCCTCCCCTTATCCTGATTGTCACCAAGAGGAAAAGATATATCGCTCATTCCAGCATATGCAACTAGACCTCCCAACCTGCAACAATATAAAAATAATATTTAGAGAATATTTCACCACAATTTGCTTACTGTGAAGTATCATGATCATTTATATTAGTAAGTGTAGATTCTAATAACATTAGTAGTGTCGAACATATGATCAATAGAAGTGGTTCCGAAGCACAAGAAACTTGATCTATATTTCGTTCTATACGTTGCATTACTTACCAAAAAAAAAGGTCAAACCATTGTCCAAGACCATTCAATGAAATAGGGCTAACAGAATTAACATTCAGCATTAGATTCAATATTAGAGATAGGAACAACGATATATACCTTATATAAAAATTTTCTCATAAAGAATGCAACGCAAATAAAATTAGGCATTTAATCAACTCACCCTAATTGCTTCAGTAGGTCAAGAAAATCATGGAATTTGTTGAAGGAAGTTTCTATACTTTCCAGGAGAACATCATCATCCAATGATGATCGAATTCCATCAACTTCATTTCTTTCTTCTAGTTCTCTTTTTAATCTAACATTTTCAATCTAACAAAAAAGAAGATGCAGTTCCAGTGGTTTCCCAATCCAAATTCATTTCGGCCCATATATATATATGTACATTTTTCTTATATTTTTAATAATAAACTATATTATACATACATTCAAAAAAATTTTGTCGTCAAGCCAAAAAGGCTTCTACCATTGAAAATCATGTTTGTAATATTTCAATCTTATCACATATACCATATCTTATTATTTTAATCAATAAAGAAGCATTCTCAAAAAATATCCTCTTTTGAAACTTATTCATAATCAATTCATAAAACTGAGAAAAAAATAAATGAATATACTTCTAAATTTGTTGCATGTTGATCTGCTATACGACGAGCCTTCCTCTCTTCTGCAACAGTTTTACGAGCCTCAAAAAGTTCAATCTGTATTCGGATAAATGGAATTTTGTTAATTGAATAATTTGTTTATTATGCTATTTTGATTGTCTAAAACTCTATAATATTAATCGTGAAATCTCGACAAATTCTATTTGCAAAAAAAAAACATCATGTTATTTTGAACATTATATTCAAACTTTAAAATGTCTGAATAATGTTTATGTGTGAACATCAAAATTTCAAAATTAACTCGGAATTAAATAATCGACCAGCATGCTTAATTCAAGTTGTCCTTGAATTACTCCACCTTGTAAGTTTTGGTAAAACTGCCCTGAATCAAATTTCACTAAATAAAGTACCCTTTATCATGCAGAGTAATTTATTTTATTCAAACACAGTTAACTTATGTAGCTGAGCAGCTACTTACAGCTTTAATTTTTTTTCAAGTAATAAGTGAATGAAATAATCATAAAACAAGTGGCAACATAACATTTTTTAACAAGTAATATTATATATATGAAACATTACATTCTAAAAATTACCTTGAGCTCCCTAATTACATTGTTATATGCTTTAGATGGAGACGCCATATTATCGGGAGAAACATGGCGGCGAGAACGGGATAAACTTTTTTTCATTCTAGGGGTTTGCTCATGGGTTGTCTCATAGTCATCATCATCACTTGATTGTTCTTCGTTTTCCACTCGTATTGTTGCTTCAGGTGAATTAGTTCTCTATCAGGAAGAATAAAGCCAATGAATTCATCAATTTATACTAAGCCGAGAGACCGTTTTTATGGTTTCGTATTCAAATGTCTCATTAGCATTTGGACAAGTTATAATGATTTATTAATAAATAACACATCAGAAATGTTGAATGACAAATTTAATAAAGTTTGTCATCAGGCAGTTATTCTTACCTCTGGATTCTGTAAATATCTTGGTGTTCCAATCTGCTCATTGTCGGTGTATGTTCTAAACATATTAATAGTATCGTAAGCAACTAAGCAAGTACTGTAGGTGATATCAAATAATACAATAAAAGTATGAAGGTACCAAGAAAAAATATAAACTAACAAGGACTATCAACATATTCAGATAAAAAAGCACACAAAATGATGGTCAATTTTCTGGATATTGGCATTCCGCACAGACTTTTATTTCAAAAATGGAAAAACATCAATCACTGGTCGTAAATACAAAAAATGATTTGATAGAGAATTTGTGATACATCATAGAGAAGCCTATCAGACAATATGACATGAGTAATTCACTCAGCAAAAATGGACAATCCCTAAAAGATTTATGAATGAATGAACTTGAAACACTTCACCGTTGGTGACTTTGTGTATATAAATGGTGAATAATGTAGGAAATTTTTAGATTGGATTTTTAAACTACTCAGTTTCACAAATGACTTCTCACTATACCTTTTATACTGAGATGCTCTGTATGCTGTTCTCCATGGCACGAACCCTTCATCACCAGGATGATTATGACTTGGGCTTGCTTGACTTCGACCACTTCTGGCGGATTGCCTGGGAGCTGATAATATTGGATAGAATATTAAAGAAAATTATAAAACAAAAGTAAAAAACCCTCAAAAAAATATCTGAAAAATAGGCCTATACTGACATAATTAGAAGGAGGCATGTTTGATTTAGAAAATTGTTATTTTGATTCAATAAATGTATGGTAATAACTGATGAGTAGAGACCTGCATAAAAACAGTTTTTATCTTATGAATAAAAATATAAAGATCACGATTTACCCTGCAATCAACTGTTCAGAGTTTTCTTACGCTGACTACAGTTTATATACAATTATCATATCTAACTAAACACCATATTTAACACTAAGTGAAAAGTATGCAACATTTTATTGATAGTTAATACGAAATTGCGATTGATCTACCTGATCTTATACTGGTTTTCCTTCCATATGTATTTCCTATCTGTTTGAATCTTCTTCTTGGCCTTGTACGATATGGATCTTTGGGTGGTTCAGACTTAATCCAGGGAAACTGCAATTTATAACGTAAGTATCAAGATTATCAAACGTGTATTACTAATGGTAAAATATTTCGCAACACAGAATTATTGAGAATTATTTTTTTAAATGACTATCCAAAACACCACGATTGCCAAAAAATCTTAATTCCTGGGAAAATCTATGGCACGATTGGATTCATAGCAATATATTATTGGATATATGAAAAAATATTAGACAATGGCATTTTGAAAATGCAAATGATTTGTTTACTTTGTATGATAAAGATATTAAAATAATTTCTTACAATTATACGATTATCAATTAATATGTCAGGTCTTTTAAAATGTCCCTCTGCCTTACTATGTATGGGGCTAGGTATTTTCAATACTTACAACCAGTGGTGGGATTCAGCCGGTTCTATAGAACCGTCTCACGTAATTTTATGAGATCAGCGAACCGGTTAGCATTACTGGTTACTCTCAATGATTTTTTTCAACAGAACCTGGTGAAAAATATGACTTTCGCGATGGAACCGGCTGACAAAAAATTGAATCCAACCACTGCTTACAACCACACTGAAATAATAATAAACCTGAAAACTATAGCAGTGGCCAATACTGAACAATAATTATGGATGCAAACCAGTTCAACTAATAGAGAAAATGAGTTTTAGGAAAACAGTAACAGATTTAAAATAATATCAAATCCAATGATGACTTGCCTCTTTGTCATCGTATCCATTTGAGTTGATCAAAACTTGACCGATCACAGTATGCAAGAGGCTTCTGTCTGAAGAGTAATAATGAAATATAAGTTCAATTGAAAGGATGTATTCAACAAACAGATATAGACAAAATTATTTGTGAAAACTTTGACAAAGTACTGTGATTGGATCAACAGTTAGAGTTCCCTATTACAAAAAAATTAGATAGGAATTTCATACGATCTATACAATAGGAAACCACTCAATTGTAAACTAGAAAACACCCTATGAAAAATGGGTGCTCCCGTGGTATGTGCACCAAGATGGCGCACAACCTGAACATAGTATGTGTACCAGGTTAGGGTTCAGGTTGTGCACCAAGAACTACGGGAGCGCCGAAAAATATATATAGATATACAATGTCTTATGCCTTACAACTTCACAGCAATTGAAACCTATATTTTAAAACCCTGGTTAGTTGAATATTCATTCAATTTAGATACCAATACTAAGCCTCTGGCTATATGATGCATTTCCCTGTCAGTAAATCAAGCAATCTTGTTGTACTGTGGCATGACAAGAAAACTTCTTTGACAATTTGCGGCAATTTTATATTGAACTTCAAAGAATTTCAGTGAAATTCGAGCAGATATCATTCATTTCAGTACAACATTAAACTTACCTATCAATGGATTGAATCTGACATCAAGCACAAGTAATGTTTTATTCTGATTCAAAGTCTCAATCAAAACGTTTGCACCATCCCTACCAATTCCACAGTTTTGAAGGTCAACGGCTGTAAATAGAAAGATAGAGTTATAAACAACAAACAAAAGATTGATTCTTTCTTAGAGATAAGCCTACAATAACTATACAAAGAATAAAAATGAGAAAATAGGTCAGGTAAGTTCAGGGTATGGTATTGATGTACACTAATTCAGGCAAATCATATGTACCTATATTAAATTATATTTCATGCACAAGATATACCACCATTTGTAAGTAACAACTTCTAATATCTAGATCTTTAACCACTATACTCCCTGATTGATCCAAACAGGAATCATTTGTCCAACTAAGGATGCTTATCTTAAAAAATCAAAATGTCAGTCCATTGCAGACACGAGAATAATTGAATCAATCAGACCAATTCAGGTGCATGCTATAGTTCAGCGATTCTCAACAGAGGAGGAATTCCCCCCAGGACACAATTTGGTTGTTTTGAAAGTAGTTTTACTAATATTATTTAGTATTAATGGGACCCCCTGAAGTATGCGCACCACACCAAGACGGCGCACAACCCAGACTCAAGTTGTGTACCAGGGGAGGGTTCAGATAATGCGACATCTTGGTGCGCATACTTCAGGAGTACCTATTAATGTAAGTCTACTCATTCATGCACACATTTCAAATTATTCACTCATACAAAAGCCTGTATATATCTTTGAGGAAGCCTTTGAGGATTGAATAAATAATGGAAATGGAACATTTATCGCTATCGAAGGTGAAATAATTGAAAAAGGTTGGAGATCACTGCCATAGTGGATAAGAATAAATGGTCTAAGCGTGAGTTAGCGGAACATTCAACTTTATTTCAGCTAAGACGTCAGTGCCGAATGGACATTAATTAATATTACACAAGAATTCCAACCTTTTAGCCATAAGTCATCCTTGAGAGCCTCCGCTATTAAACGAACACCTTCATCTCCAATCATAGGGTTGTGATTTAAAGTTATTCTTCGGAGTCCAGTCATGCTATTCAAGTTTGGTTGTCTATATCGTAAGCTGTCAATCCAAGCTTCACTATGTCTTTCAGTAGATTGATGCTATAAGAATCAGTCAGATTTAGTCTAAATTAAACATGCCCAAACCAGTGTATCTTAAACAGTGTACCATGTAGATCCAAAACAAAAATGAAACGAAACTAATAAGAGCTTCTGTGACATAGAAAATAAGATTCCAGGATAGATACGAGTTCGATCGTTTGATTAAATTTGGAACTGGAACATAAATATATGATCATGCCTATGGGGTGATAGATAATTTTTCCTTCTTTTCCTTGAAATATTACAATAGCAATTCCGAATCTATTTTATTTGAACAAAACTGTAACCATTATCTCAATATATGCTAATTTTTTGCCAAATTTTCTGTTTTTGGTTCTTTTGCCGTCATCGAAAGATTTGATAAATGATAAGCACTATGAAAACGATTAATTCAGTATTCCAGAATGCTTTATAATAGCAAAGGCAGGCAATACAATTTCAATCTATGACCAAAAACAACAATTTGAGTCGAACCCAACATGCTTGGTGAAACATCCATATCTACTAACCATGGAATACAGACAAATATATCCTCAGCTTCTACATAATGGCTCAAAATGGTAAAATGTGAAATATTACGATAGGATACCAAGAATATTTTTATGTGTTTAAATCCACTAAGACAGGGGTGTGCAAAGTGCGGCCCGCGGGCCAAGTGCAGCCCGCGAGGACGTGCGGCCCGCAAAGAAATGCCAATTTTGAATGGTGTGCGACAAGCTAAATTAGTTTTTAATTCAGTTTAATCTGGTTCCCTTCGCGTTGCAAAGCTTACATTCGAGTCCAATTTATTATCTATGCCTATGACGTTACAACGTCTTCACAGCGAAGCGAACAACGCGATTTACAAGGAAACTGTCACTTGCCGAGCAGCAAACAATTGAAAGAAAAATGGGGAGCAGACGCTGATGAATTTGTAAGAACAGACAATTGAAGATTAGGCAACTGGAAAGCAGTTTAAAAAAATGTAATATTAGGAGATACAAAAGCTAAATGAGTTTTGGTTCAAGCCTATCAGTTGATTTTTTGAAATCTAATCTAGAATAATATTTGACAGCAAAGTATTTGGAAATGAATCTTGGCGTATTATACCAAAAACATCTCAACTAAGATAACTTTTTTAATTTGAAAAAAGTCATGGCTTCAAATATGGCACTTTTCGGTTACAAACTTTTTTCTAAAATGGGCGTCATATCAAATTGCTAGCACTTCCATTTAAGCAAATTTGGATAAAAGTAGTCAGGAAAAGAATCCAGCAGCAACTTTCTCACCGAATTCGTTTAAATTGGGCGTGACAATATATTTGGATTACAGTTTTAAGATATTTATGCGTTTTCTGCAAGGAACCCCTATGATGACGACATGAGATCAATAACAAAAAGAAACTATTTTGTGCCTGCAACTAATAGAAGGCCTATGTTAAATGAAGGTGAGGCCCGCGATTTTACCCAGTTATCGATATTTGTCCCGCCTGCGAAAAAGGTTGCACACCCCTGCACTAAGATACTAAATTTACTTTAATTTGTTCAATCTATATCAAACCCTAAATCTTCTAAATTGGATTTGTTTGTATCTATAATTCAAATTAGAAAACGACAATATAGACTTGAAATAAACCTTTATCAATTTGGCAACGGCTTCAGCACTTTTGCATGTAAGACCACATCCTGTGTAATTCAAATGAGTCAATGAAGAATGATGTTTCAAGGCTTCACATATTTCTGAATAAAAACCAAAACGATTGAAGATTACAGGATAAACTTAATATATAAAAAATAATATTAAATAAATAGGCCATGGTAAAAAAATACATGAGGCAATCGAAAAATATAAAGCTCAATGTTCCCAGTCAGAAGTAATAAAGTGTCCAAACATTATGAGTAATGAAAGAGCATAAAAAAAATTAGTTTTTCCATGAACAAAACGAATTAAAAAATAAAAGACAACCAGAGCGCCCCAGAATAGACAATACGGCTATCGCTTACCCTTCTAGTAATAAAGTCACCAACCAGGCAAAACGGCGAAAGATTTAAGTCAGCGACAGTCTGTTTTTTTACCTGTGTGAGTGCATTTTTAAACATAAACTGTCGGATTAAGATTTTATGCATGATGGGTAAAATATGGGAATGGAAGGGCCACACAAAATGGCTTGCGGGCCGGTTTGTGGCCCGCGGGACGCCTGTTGCACACCCCTGTTAAAGACTATCTACTCAACGTTTACTCAAGTGTTGCTGACTTTGTACCGTGGTTGAATTAAGTATAGTGAATAATAACTAATCTAATAAAAATGATGCATATAAAATGTTTCAATGTTATAGGACATATCAAAGCTCAAAAAGAGCTTCAACTATACTTACGTTCACATCCTTGATCTCCTATATAGCAATATTCCAATGATACATGAGTAAGTGTGGTGTTTCTTTCAAGCCCCTATAAACATAATCGATGATATAAAAAATGGCTAATAAATTGAATTGTTAAAAAAAGAAGTAGAATAAATCTCACATTGAAATATAACAACTTGATCAAACAAACTCAAACTTGATCACTAAAAATGCTAAATCTCAGTCAGACCAGTGGCAAAAATATAATTTGAGAAACGGGATGGCACAGCAGTTAACATGTTCGACTTAACTGTGATGGCATTGCAGACTCATGCCCCCCATCTCATCAGGGTGTAAATTGAGAAGCCAATATTGAGCCTGAATGATTCTGGTTCTTGGAAATAATATAAGCTTTCTACATATTGTTCGATATCGGGGGATACATAGAAGGCCTTGTTTGAAGCAAAAGCCAGAGAAAAGGAATGAAGAATCGTTTTAAAAAAAAACCAAACAACCAAAACTTAGCAAACACCACCTTTGACAAGAAAGCCAAATCCTTCTTTCGAAAAGGAATTCCCTGCAGGTCCAAGCACTTCAAGTTTTCTGTTTGTTTCAAACATTCAGAAATGGCTTGAGCTAATCGCAGTGTCATATCCTTGGATTGAATTGCTGGTGGTCGACGCTTGAAATAATGAGATTTCTTTTGTTCCCCTGAATAAATGAATCTTGTGTATAGTGTATTGTGTATATAGGTAATACAAATATGCGTCATGGGCCTTATGGCAGATAGTTGATAGGTGGGTCATGGGTGGATAAAAACCCTGAAACTACTCCCAGCATCACATAAGACATAGAATAAATAATCAAAAGCATATTAAAGCTGCGAGGTAAATATATAAGATGATTACTTGTCTCAGGTGAGTTGCACATCTTGATTTTGACAATATTAATAATTTAACTGTAGGCCTATTAATGAATTATATTAATAGCTACATGTGTTTTCCCGTTTGCATACAGCTTCGGATATGCTGGTGGCAACTAACTAGGGATTTTGAGTTGTCAGACAAGCGGATATTAATGCACAATATCTCAACTGGTAACAAACAACTCAAGAGAAAACAATGACCCTTATATTTAGGTCGTTTTAGATATGATATAACATGAACATAATATAGTGATTTATGTAATTTTCCACATGAACTTGCCCCCAATTTGTGTATTCAATATTTGTTCGTAACAATGAAATATTCGATTTTAGCCATCCCTGGAACACATATATTTCGTGAAATCCCTATTACCATATGGTTAATAAATTAATAAGAAGTACATAATACCTTTACTACTAGTGTTTGACAGATCTGAAAATAATTATTAAACAAGTGCAAAACTGGTAAACAATATCCCATATTATATATTGAATAAATGATTAGGTAACCAGGTAGTTCAGAATTCAAATAGGCTACCATTTACTATTTTGAATATCCTTGAATTGTTGAAATTAACAAAATGAAATATACCATCCTTCTCCGCTGATTGTGAATAGTAGCTTCGAATTGCAATAAATCTCAAATTTTTGTTTATCCGAAGTGAGTTAAGAACAGGTGACCAGTCGACCAATCGTATTTTATCACTGTTTATGTCAAGCACTCCTTGACCCAAATGTGCCTGCAAAAATAAGTTTTTGTTCAGTTATACTTTTTTGACCAATTCCTTTGTATATACCGGTACATCCAAAAAATCTCAACAGCAATTCCATAAATGTCACGGAGTGACATTTCACACATTTAATCAATTTTACTATATCCAGGTCTTGGTGTTTTGCTATTTTTAGAATGCCAATTGGTAGCAGTAACACTGATGTATTTACCATAATTCACTTTTCACTTTCAACCAAATATTTTTCAAACGACTAGACAAAACAAGTGATGTCACAGAGTGACAAAAAGTTGAATGCATAAAATGACTGCAATATATCAACCAAATTTCGTCAAAAGCTTCATGACATATCAATAATAATAACTTGTCTCTATATTCTAGAGATATTAATCTCTACATTTATGCAAAATTGATTGTACAACAAACATTTTTCAGGAAGCAGCCCAATTATACGGCCAAACTAGTCGCATGTCACTCCGTGACGTCATGGAGTGACAAAAATTCCTTGTCATTAAAATGTTATTGAGAATGTTGAACAATTAGTTGTATTAGGTCCAAATTGGTTGTTTGTTTGTAATTACAAAACATTTAAACAAAAAATTGGGAAACATGATATTTTTTTGTCGTTTTGCTTGTGTGTCACTCATATTAATATGCTAAACGAGTGCACTAACTTTAATAATCGATATAGTTAAGTAAAAAGCTATGTTGCACAGACAACATGAAACAGACATAACTATTTCACTCCTATATATCTGGAATCTTATTGCAGTGACTTGACAAAGAATGGGCAATTCAAAATACAGAATCTGGAGGATCCGTTAATGCAATTCAGTTTAAAAAAATTTGCACCATGCGACGATTTTTGTTATTTGGATATCTAATTTATTGAACATAGAAAAGCATTATTTTTTGTCTCTCTTGTTAGGTAGTACTTGCATCTGCTTGCAAAGCACACATAGAATCGGTAGGCCCCAAACACAGTATTCTTAGTCTGCATATTCAGAACAAGAAGACAGTGATAAATATGTCCCTGCGAAAACTCGTTATTGCATCATTTTTGCTATTTCCAGCTTTATGATATAGTTGGCACGTAAAAATAATTATTGGTGACAATGAGTGACGCACTGGCGTTTTCTAATTGGAAGTATCTTCAATTTTTGACAAACACCTCATATTTATTTTGCATTTCACAATATTTTTAGCATCCTATGAGTTAACCCGATAAATGGATATAAACCAAACCAGATGTCGATGTTAAAACTTGAGATTTAATATTGTTTGTGAATTATTTGAATTCACTTACGCCTTTTACAAAAATGTCGAATTATATTGCAAAACAATGCATTTTGCCATATTTATTCTGCCATTCCAACAGATTACATATTTTTTCAATTGTAGTCTACAATAAGTTCGTTCATATTGTCCAAAACCGGCATATGTTAGGTCGAATATTTGGGTCATCGATAGTTTTAAAAAAGTTGCCATTGCCATTCAATCATGTCATTAAAGTTTCATTGTGGGTAAGATCCAAAGTAAGTAGAGGGCAAAGCGGAAGAATTTGCAGTTCAAACCCAATATTATAGTACTTCGCGTACAGAAAAATAATATTTTCAAAAAATGGCATACTTATGTCACTCCGTGACGTCACGGAGTGACGAGATCTCTAGAAGTGCTACGAAAGAACAACAAGCAACTATCAACTGCCAAATTGGTAAATTATTGGGCCCAACCCCCAAAGTGACGTCTCAGTTTTTGAGGCAAATAGTTATTCAAATATATCAGATAATTAAAATAAAGTTGAAAAATTGTCACGGAGTGACACGTCACGGAGTGACAACACAAGGCAAATTCCCATCAGCTCTGTTTAGCCCAGTGTTGCCAATAGTGCACAGGGCAATATTTATATTAAGCACAGATATCAGAGGTAAAACTTAACACATACTTTGGTTGAACAAATACATTTTAAGGTAACATAAATAGCATGAGAGTTTATGTTACAAAACTGAAGAAAATTAGGCAGTAAATCATCAATTATTCCGCTGAAGAAAAACAATTATTTTGAGCCGTAAATGTACCTTCTCATGCGATTTTAAAAACTTCAAGATATGTCCTACACTTTCTGCAGTTCAATATTTCAATTAGGTAAGATAAAATTTTTACCTAATTTTCAACTAATTTATGGAATTGCTGTCAAGATCTGAAAGCACTCGATATACAGACATATAATTACTTTAAGTTAATAATGATAATTGCTGTATAACTTTTAATGATCAAGACATTGTGATCAGCTTTTTACAATACAATTTCGAACAAAAATGAAACTAAATCAATAAAAGAATACATCCCAGTCCCAGATTGATGCCAATAAAATTGAATGAAAACATTTTGAACAGTTAGAAATATACGAATGAGTATATAATTGGAAAAATGAATTACGTATTAATGTCTTATTAGTCAGAGATAAGAGTAAGTAAGATCATTTTAACGGTAGCTTTTAGTTAAGCAAAATTCAGAAATTAGTATTCAGTAACCTAAAATATTTTATAGGATGTCCCTTATATCATATGAAATTTCTCATATTTTTGAAATCAAGATTTTTGATAATTTCATTTTTTAAGTGAGAAGTGTTGAAAATGTTTTGACTCGTGTGGGATTCCTATCACTAGGTTGATGCCCTGATGCTTGCAAAAATGTTACATTTGCTAGATACAGAGTTATGACAATACAAAATAAAGAATAAGTAGCCCAATTAATGAGGTATTATATACAATGTACAATAAGTTTGATAAGATTGATATCTCTTGAATGCATTTTTTAATTTGATGTTAAAATACTGAAACAATTTTTAATCTACTTTTAAGATAAAATACTCGAAATCTTTATTCATAACAATAGTCTATAATCTTCCGAAACTGTGCTGCAATAAATTTAGAATGCTATGAAAGTAGAATCAATCAATGCAATGGCCAAAGAGCAGATGTATTGTGAATAATTTAACATTACCAATATTGAAATAAAAAGTTATTTATGAAATATTGAAAAAATAATACACAGCCATGAAAAGGAAAATGTATTCATTTGTATAAAAAAAATTCATATTTCTATGAAATATGGTGTCTTTTTCACGAGTAAGCAACATTCAACAACTGAACAATGACAAATTATTTATCAAGACTTCTTACCTTCACTTCAAGCAATGGAACAGTATCTTGCAGAGCACATAAACTACTGTAATGTGTTTCAAAATCATATGAGCCACGGTGTCGAATAGAAACACTTTCTGGAGCGACTGACATTATCTGATTCTGGCTTAAATTTCTGAATTTATGTGTCTATATTCCAGATATTATATGGAAAAAAATGCTCATAGTCATACAGTAGTAAATTGCGACAATTCAGAACTTATAAAAAAAGTTCTTTTCCTTCGCTGTTAAAATGCTCAATCCTCAAATTACAATAGCGTAATTCAAAAGCCAGAACAATGCAGAAAGAGAACAATGAAAGAACGACCGCAAGACAGTACGAAGAAAGTGGATCGGCAATCCAACGTTTCTTTTCAGTTCAAAGTTTGTTGTTTCAATGGCTTACTCATGTGCATCGAGGCGCATCGGTCGACCTTCTCAAAAATTTTTTTTTTTTTTATGCATTGATATCATAAACCTCAATGATTGAGATATACGGTATGGAATATGGATGTTTACCCGAGACCGTCGGTTTCCTTGTTTATTTCCGTAACAATGACCAATCGGCAATAACTCAACAATTATGTAACAATTGAATTTCGTGAAGCCAATCGGACACTTTATTCGCTTAGAGCAGTGGTTCTTAAACTTTTTCGGGCGCGACCCAAATCTGAGTTTTATGAATACTCGCGACCTAATCCTAAATAACGCAAAATGTGTTTTGAATGTTAGTACAGTTTGACTCAAATACAGACAACTATTTATTAGAAACAGTCCATTGACTCAGTGAGATTAATGAAACTGAAATTTCCTTTTCATTATATCTTCAATACACAGCTCTATTTTACTTAACGCAATACGCAAGTTGTCACGGGTATCGAGGCGATTGCGAGCTTAGTTTTGATAACCGTGAGTGCCAAATATCCTCGCTCGCACAAGTGCCTTCTGCCTTGTCGCGAATTGTAGCAGAAAAGGCGTCCGCTGTCCGTCGCAAACACGACATCCTAGCTGCCCTTGCATTGACGACCTTGTCGCGACCCATTTTTAAACCTTCCGCGACCCATGTTTGGGTCGCGACCCATACTTTAAGAACCACTGGCTTAGAGCATGGGTTCCCAAACTTTATTGGCCGCGGGCCAAAATTAGAATCGGAAAGATGTTCGCGGGCCGGAAGAATGTAGCGCCCAAAAGTGGATTCACTTTCATTTGACATTTTTTGAAACATGTTTGTTTGACTCATAATGGCGCTTAATTTTGTATTCCTTCAGAACTGGAATAGTTCGTTGGAAAAGAAGACAAATCTCTAAAATTTGATACTTTTTAATGGAGAAATACGAACACTGCCATTTATCCAAGAAACGTTAGTTTATAGCAACTAACCCCCAAATGTACCCCATTTCATGTTGAAATCATCATGACAAAGTTAATTTTTCCCAAAATTCGAACAAAGACTTTCGTAGTAATCAAATTACACCAGTTTTAGGAACATTACATGTTCCACCCAGTCATTATCAAATTAAAATTGATATTCTCAAGACCTTTGGCACTGATTGAAATAATTATATCTAAGTTCCCATCCGTACGATGTACCTAATTACCCTTGTTGAGATAATAGGAATTTCTGTTTATAACGTGAATCACGAGCTCACGTTTACAGCATTTAATTGGATTTATGATCAACGTATAAATACGACTCCGATATCTTTCGATATGGAGATAGAAGACGATGAATACCATTCAAAGCTAGTAGGGATAAATGTTATAAGATTTATATTCTGTGTATCGTGGAAATCTGAGAATAAAATCAAACAGAGTTTTCTAAAGTTTCCTTCATTCACGTGGGCGTTGAAGCTGAAGGGTGAACGGGTGACTTGCAAGTCAGAGACAATCTACGAAATAGCAATATACGGTAACATCACATTCATTTACCAAACATTTATGCTATAAGTTTTCTGAATCTAGTTTTCGTTTGATTTCTGACATCTTTAAGCTTTCTTATATGGCTGATAACTAAATTACTGCCCTATGTAATCCTAACACCAGTATCTATATTTTATATACTGGTATAATTGAATTGTTACGATAAACTGATAATGACATAAATTAGCGCTATCTAGATCGCAAAAAGGTAGAAATAAAATCTGTTGAACACAACACTCGTATTTCACGTAAGCTCGGCGGGCCATTTTAAATCGTTACGCGGGCCGCATTTGGCCCGCGGGCCGTGGTTTGGGAACCCCTGGCTTAGAGCCTTAGCTTAGACCAGGGGCGCACAACACGAGGCACGCGTGCCAAATTTGGCACGTCATACGCTCAAACGTGGCACGCGAATGGTTTTGTAAAAAAAAAAAATATGATATCCATTAAAATATCACGCTTATATCAAAATCAGCAGTTTTTCAGGACATTAAATTGTTTCAATAAATACATATTCGTTATTATGTATTATTATTGAAATTTGTTTAATGTGTGTTTTACGGGAGTTCATTTACAAAGGTTGTTTCCCGGGCATCGACTTCCTTGTTTACTTCGTGACATTGGCCAATCAGCAAGATGCAAAATGTGACGCTCAGACACTTTTCACGCTCAGACAGATTTTAAGGCGTGGTCGAAAACATTACCTCGTTTTCGCGTTTTTGAATGCTATTCGTTAGTTTTCAGTTGTGTTTCGGATATTTAAATATAATTATATCAAATAATTCAATGATCACTTTGTCTTCTTAGGAGTTTCAGTTTGATTGCAGTAATCAAATTAGTGTAGATATATATACCGGTAGCTGTGATAGACTAGGCTAAATTCAGATTGTTGAATGCGATGAATCAGAATGATGGCTTGAAACAAATATCCCATTTTACAGGCGCCTCGCGTAACCACTCTTAAAACAAGCACCGAAAATTTTGCAATTGTAAAGTATAGGAATAATTTTACGGGGGTCAAAAGTCGGGGAAAGGTTTATACCAACGATTGTGCGTGGCACGCGACAAAATTATTTTGAAAAATTTGGCACGTGTCCTCATTTGAATAGTGCACCCCTGGCTTAGACAACCATTCAAGAATGGGTGTAAGCATCAGAGATTATTATAAAAAATAAAAACTTAACGGCTAACGCGTTTGATGTCGACTCTAGTGAAACTTCCATTAGTAATTAAGAATTGGTTATATCTAGAGACAAATTTGAATGTTGAGTAAGTTTCTATAATTGCGTATAAGAGATAAGTTTTCAGTCTTTACACTCAGTATCCCATTACATTAACAATAGTATAAATATAACTATGAAATAATTACAGAATCAAAATTACGAAGATGAAACGAATATATATTTATGAATGAAACAATTCAGGTAAACTTATGTATAAATTTTATATTATTATATTAGTTGAATTGTTTTTAGGCCTACTGTATTTATATTTTCGAATTTTAGAATTAATCTTCAATTCCAAAATTTCATTTCGTATTCAGGTATACCCTATCATTATTTATTGTCTTAAATTCTAGCATTCCCGTATTCGTTTATTTCAGTGTTTCCCAACCCGAGTCCCGAGGTGACACGACAGGTCAAAACGATTGGATTTCACAACTCACTTGCGAATTTCCGACGAAAACCCGAGCACACTCGTGGTGTTTCTCGCGAGTTCGAACAACGAGAGATACTTTTTTTTTAGTAGGTGTCAATGGTGACAACCCAAATTTTCTAAATTAAAAATCGGCAATACAGAAAACTGAAAATAAAACGGAGAACGCCATAACTTTTGTTTTATGATTGTACACGACCGATCAAAAACGCTTCTTTAGACATTGCAAATCGCAAAATTTCGGGTGATACTGTAGTATATGTACCAGGGCATTTTCCCTTAAGCTTCCACATTGGTACGTACAGTACTGTAGCGCCGTAAGTGTTGTACGAACAACTCAGATTTGTTGAATTCACAAAAATACGAATCAAAACAAAATATGATTGGGCACTTTACCACGCATTTTGGTGTCCATGGATTGTCTTAATATTTTCTGATTAGTATTGCTTTTATTTCGTTAACACAACCGCAGATTAAAATGATCACCATTAAATTAATAATAAGGCAAGGCGGTATTTTTGATTTACAAATATACTTTAAATATATTTTTAATAAGTACTAAATCAAGTTGTACTTTTTGGAACTTTATAGCAGATAGTAGGATTTTTCTAACGACGATAACAAATTTGCAAGATCTCTAAGAATGTGTATCAAAACTAAATATAATCGGACAACATGTTACCAGATTGCTGTGGTATTTTAAAGAAGTAATTCTATCATCTTGTCGTAAGTCGACTCAACCGCGAGTTACCATGAACACAATTAAAATAGAGAGATATTTTAAATTCTCGTCGTTGTCATGGATTGAATATATTGCAACAAAAATGATATTATACACTAATAAAATCAACTCTGCTTACGGACGCGTAATTGCGGCAAAAATCCGATTTTGAAACTCGTTCAAATTCCGTTGTGTTTGGTTTCATTGCTTCTTCACACAGAGTACGGTTGCAATAAACTCACCTTGAGTCCGCAAAGGTTTTCGCCGGTGAGAAATTAGTCCGCGACCAAAAAAGGTTGGGAAACGCTGGTTTATTTGTTCACTTAATGATATATCAAATGTGACATTCACTGATCTTGGGTAATTTATATTTATTGGATACGAAATGAACCTATTGATCGTTTTGTCATTTTGTATTTTACCTCCTGTTGTTGTGAAAATTTATCTTTAATCATAAGACCAATTACTGAAATTTTCGCTAATCAAAGATTGTTGTTGTCGGCTATTACTTTTTGTTGTTTTCAAAAATTTCTGTGGACTCAATGTAATTCGATTTTCAATAGTATGTTGTTGGTGCAGGTATTCTTTTTTTCTTTTTGTTTCCGTGTTGTTATTATTGTGGAAGAATCGCTTTTTTCTTTAATGGACCAAATACTTTGAAATTTTCAGTGGGGAAAGATTTTATTTGTGGCTAGAAGCCTATTACTTTTATTTAGTTCAAAAATTTCTGTGGACTCTATGACTATGAGATTCGTTGCGTTCTGAAGGTGGGTCGAAGTCCGGAGGACTACAATAATACATTTCCGGTACTGTGAGAAAGATTGCATACCCGTACTACTTCGTTTTGGCTTCCGTGTCCATATATTTGAGCATTGCTCCATTGTTTCTTAAAGTATTAAGTCGACAGACACAATTTGTTTTATTTAGATTGACATTGAACAATTTATACAGTTATTTTTTGTAGACAATAGGGTATGTTCCACATACCAGCGAAGGGGGCATACGTAGGCACATTCATATCAAGTTAAAATAAAATTTAGTAATTCTGGCAAAGATGTTAATACCAGTTGTTAACTGGACTCAGATTCTTTGCATTATGAGAAAACGAGGGAATCATAGCAATACATCTCCTGACTGCTGTGCATGATCCGAGTCGTATGCTCGTAGTCCGAAAACAAGTATTTCACCGGACGTTAAGTTTTGATCTCGTGTCGTGCTTGATAGTCTTCTAACTTTCAGAGAACGAAATTAAGATAAGATGTCATGACTCTACCTTAAAAAGAGGATACAACAGAAAGGGAACTGATCAGGTAAAATTGCAAAAAATAAATTGGAAACTAAATATCAGCCACTAGGGAAGTCTGAATTTTTCTGTATGTGGTTTGATAGTGAGGATAAGGCAACCACGGAAATGATTTCATAGAGATCCATCCCAGGACGGGACCGCTTCCATCTGCATTATATTGCACAATTAAAAACGTTTTAGTATCTTGGCTGACTCATCTACTTCCTATCCATTATGTGAAATCACACCATATTTTCTTCTGTTAATCAAACACAAATTATTTAGGCGGAGCAAAGCTCGATGCTGTGTGTACAAAACTGGCCGTCGCTCAATCATTTGGCTGAGATTTGTCTCCGAAAATGGTCATACTTGCTGTAGGCTAGTCATGACACATAGACAAGATATGGCTATTTAATTTACAACCCTGCCCTGAATCAGGCTCTGCATAAGTAACTACTGAAAATTTGGTGTGTTCAATCAGATATTTGCCTGGAAATAGGGTCTGTATAAGCAACTAGATCGAAGGACAATAGCATATTATTCTGCGATTAAATTACAGAAATAAAAGCAATAGAATATTGAAACAAAGAGTACGAAGTGCAAAACAGCGCAAAGGAAAACCAGTTGTATAGAACAGTGATTTTCAACCGATGTTCCGCGTCAAATAGTTGTACCCATTTTTTGTCCAAAAAAAGAAATCCAAATTCACCCAGCACATATATAGTTTTTTAAGAAGATTTTCTTGCGTGTAATTAACGTTTCCCTCGAAACGGACTTCCTAGTTTATTTCCGGAATAATAGTTAAAAAGCAAAACGGACACGTAACATTTGAAATTTAATCAGACGCTATTTTCAAGCATTGTCGTGAATATTGACTCGATTTGGTAATGTCAGGCGTTATTGGTCAATTTCTACATGTTTTTTTAGAATTTAGGTTTGAATCATCTTGTCAATTCATCTTGTTTTAAAAAAAATTGCTTGAATCTTGGTCACGCGGGGGCACCTTGGTCCAATTGAAGTAATGTAAAAAAAAACGCTTACGAAAAAGTTAAGATATATTAATAAATGGACTAGATTCAGTATTTTTAATGACAGCTGCCCAGGTATTCAAGAAGATGGTATTAATCAGTAATCAGTAGTTTATTTCTCACCATACTTAAAATAGGCACAAACATACAAATTGCAATAAATTAAATTATAAATTGGCCATATTTCAGGGTGAAGGAGACGCGAGAAACCAATACTGGTTATCGAGCAGCGGCACCTATAAAATAAGTCTAACACTATAATATAAAAAACAAAAAAACGAACTAAGTTTAAATAAATTGAGGAAAAATAACATAAAATATCTCGAGACGATCTGCTGTAACCAGCAATCGCTCGCTTCGACCAAAGTGACTATAATAGTCACTTAGGCTTCAACAAAAGAAAAGACAACTCCGAACACCACTGATTCGGTAGCCATGGAGATGGCGTTAGTGGATTGTATCACAACAATACTATTGTGATGCCCATTAGCTAACAATGGGCAATATATGTCAAATTCTGATGGCGCATGGTTATTGGTTACAGTGGAACCCATGGTTTGCTGAGGGCGACAACAGGATCACCAACGAATAAACCATACCTTTATGCTAGAAAGGAATTGAGGTACCTGTTAATGGAGATGGCGTTAGTGGATTGTATCACAACAATACTATTGTGATGCCCATTAGCTAACAATGGGCCATATATGTCAAATTCTGATGGCGCATGGTTATTGGTTACAGTGGAACCCATGGTTTGCTGAGGGCGACAACAGGATCACCAACGAATAAACCATACCTTTATGCTAGAAAGGAATTGAGGTACCTGTTAATGGGATCTAGTGATTGGCAGCTGGAGTCAGGGCTTCACATAACGTTACAGTATTGATTTTAAAACTGTTTGCAAATGCCGTAGCTCGTAGAATACTCTCAAAGGAAGCATTAAAATTAGTCAATGACAAAAGTACAGGTAGAATTTTTCACGCGTGAAAGAGTTATTTTATTTATGTCTAAATTTTAGAGACATTAATGAAAACTGACAAATGTCACATAGAACCGATCTGAGCGGCCGCCCAAATTTCAGTTTTATTGTATTGCTGATTGGTCATCAATACGTAATAAACAAATCGATACCAAAATATTCGTTTGGAGGTTTATGACATCGGGAGAATAATTTAGTTAGCTATATCAAGGCAGTTTATTAACTTATTTATAATACAGACCGCGCGTTATATCATACTGATAAGAAACCAACAATCATTGAAGCTCACCTAAACAAGCCCATATATCGTATAAATATTGCATCGCTATTCGCTACAAACAGCCAGGTTGAAATTGATTCCTATTGGCGTACTTTTGTTCTTTGTAGTGATAAATTTAAATTTGTTAAATTAACGTCTCTTAACAACTCGAGTCATAAGCTATTGGTCTTGCTGTAATCTTGGTGGGGATTATCGTGTTTTCGGATAGTTTCCAAAAATCGAAGATTTTTTCATATAGTGTTTCGCGAAAAATTCGTGATCTACCAAGTGTTACACGGTTCCAAAAAGGTTGAAAATCACTGCAAATTTGCATAGGGAAAGAGGTATTAGAAATAATCAAGCAATATTAGATTTACCGAAAATTCACACAGTCCATTTTCAACAAATATTTTGGGGGGTTGATGGGGCAACTGTTATTTTTGCGCGGTTTGTTTCTGTGTGCACAAGTTTTTTTGTTCTGTATTTTGCGCTTACTCTTTTCATTCAATCGCAATGATGACACGCCAAAATAAACGATATCCCATTGGAGAATCCGGAAACAGCCCTCTGTTCAAATAGATCATATTTTTCAAAATCGAGACAACGAGCTTCTGGAACGCTACATGTTTTAATTTCTACGTAGACTAGGATTAGGGTTAGACCTCAGACTGCACCTGGGTAGGCAACATATAGCCTAGCTGAAGACCTCTAGCTGTAATACTACCTAATGTCAGTATATTTAAGAATAAGAATTAAAGACGAGATCTGATTACATATAATGGCAATAACGTTGACTTTTAACTTCTAAAGATCATAAACGATTTTTCGATAACGCCGACGAAGTGTTCTCTACAAGGGGCCAGCCAGTCAAGCCTTATGATGAAGTTAACGTTTAGGGATGTTTTTGTACATTTCTCATAAGAACTTATTTATTTCGTTCCAGAAACTGATAAAGACATATTTTGCGCACGATGGTCTGGACATTGCACTTTCCGCCTATCATATTTGTTCAGTTGGGATAGGTCCACGGTATAGAAGTATACTTATACGTCGGAATATAAAATCAGACAGCTATGTATTCTTAACAACTATTTTATTTCATAATTGATCGTTATTCAATGTATCAGCATATATCTAGTAACGGACAGCATCTCAACTCTCAACAATTCTCTTCAAATGATGGTGGAGTACAGACAAATAATATGAGGTGTAGCATAATGAGGAGGAAAAACAGTTTTATATGACCAAATATAATTCTCAAAAAGAAGGGCTTTTCGGAAAGATAATACCCTTTCTTGAATGAGCATATCGAGCGTAATTGATTTTATTGAATATTCACATAGAACAATTTCAAATATAAATTGAAAGTTTTCGTCATTTATATGTCTACTTTCTCCACTACAAGGCATTGACGACGCGCCAAAATAAACAGTCTAAGAATGAGAAATACGCCTCTGTGAAAACAGCAACAATATTGAGACAACGCGCCTCAGGAATGCACAATATTTGGATTTTTCAACTCGACCTTAGCTAGCTGTTTTATGATAAATAAAGAACTAGTAGAGATCCATATCATCAGAAATGCTTCAGTAAAGTCGTCAATATGGCTGAGCGGAATCGCGTATTCGATGTCAGAAATTATTTTTCGTATTTGCAGTATTCACAAATGAATTATCGTAACTGTAACGTATAACTTCGATATTAACATTGCATTTTTGATGTTGCCGTTTGTAAGAATCATATGTACCACACATTTTAAAGTTTTCCCAAGCAGGAAGGATAGGCCTACCAATGAAAAAGTATAACAGCCTACGTAAAAACCATTTGGTCTCAATTACTGGAGTGCCTGCGCTTATAATGCTCAAAATTAGAAATCATTTAATGTGTTTATGTCACTTTTAGAATAACTTTTCGACTTTTCTCTATTGTGATATCTTATTTTTCTTCTTCAACCTTCATGGCATTAAAATAGGACTACCATTTGTATTTAAATTCATTGTGCCAATTTCTTTTTTTTCTTGTATGTTATATTACTATTTTTTCCACGAAGATATTAGCAACATCGATATATTAGTATACAACTGAGTGAAGAATTGGATTGCAATGACACATGTGTCAAAATAAAATTCCTCAAATTTAGCTCTTAAATTGCTTTGAAAGGGAGACGAGGCAGGTTTTGTTCTGTTTATTGTACTGCATAGGTATACATAAGCAGAACGTTAGTGAAATATACTGCACATATATAACCAAAAACCTGCGTGTTCCTATAATTTTGTAAAATGTATCATAATAGCTTCTTAAAACGTTTATGTGCATTTGGTGTTCAACATTCTATCTGGCGGTTGGAACGTTGAAACTGATTTATTCCGAGAACTAATCCATCTAAAAGCAAACAAAAGCCACTCTGGACGAATCGCAGATAACCCATTGTGAAAAATTCCTTTGCGTCATGCTCATATGAACATGATTGAACTGATTCATGACATGTTTTCACGACATTCAAATAGCCGGAACCCGGACGTAGATCCAACTAAATGACGCAAAATCCGCTTTCCAAATTTTGAATGAGGTATTAGGGAAGCGAAACCAATTTTAAGATTCCGTAAAATGATCTGGTATTCCAAACTGGTAATTTGGTCTTCAAGTGAAGGCTAATCAAAAACTGGCTCATTTTCCAAGCACTGTCCGTGCAATAGTCGACCTTATTACCCCAGTCACGTGTGGATGAAACGTATTAAGCCAACTTTGTGTCTGGTGTGTCTAAGGTTCTTTAACTTATTTTGCCAGCTGCACTATTGTTCAATCTTCCCAGCATTATTTAAAATAAACAAATGTCGCGATCAGACCAGTAGAAGAACGTATTAAAATTTATCTACCTGATCATAGCGACGGCCTGATCAATTAATATTTTTCATTTGGTTTCGTTTCGGTTACAACCGATGAGCAGATATATATGATAAATAATTTGGCTTCTATATTTTTCAGTGTATTACTCTATAATAATAATTTCTTAGAAGTGAAACCTAAATATATATATATATATTTGTATTCCATTTCAGTATACAGCTCGGACGAATAGATAAAATGAAATACAATTTTACTTTTTAATTTTTCAGTGTATTTTGGAAATTCAGAAATTTCGTAAGGGTTGCAACAATATTGTATTTAATTTCAGTATGCTGCGTAAACGGGAAGGCTTAACATTGATCGTAGGAGTCTGTATATTCGTTTTGGGATATTTGTATTACGTAAGTGTTTTCCAATTCATTCATTACCAATATTGGGAAATTGCACAAAAAGAACAGTTAAACTTTATTAGGAACTAGGGTGATAATATCTTCGTTTAAATCACATTTTCCCGCATTAAGTATGGGAAAACATACTCCGTCTGTTTCAACTTTTTTTATTAAAAATGTACCCCAAAAATCCATAAATTTTGTGTATGTTTAAAGTTAGCCCAATCCATGCGATGAGTTAAATATCACTACTCAACTTTAGCGGACATGGCATCTATTTATCTTGACTCCATAAAACCTACTTGGCAAATGTTTGCCCACTTTCGGAATGTTGATATAAAGGTATGTGTCATATATTAGGGACATACGTCACGGATTAGATTAGAGCTAGGTTTTCAGTTCCAAAATATTAGCGCATTCAAGCTTTCAGATATATAAATAAATTTTAGGCCGGCGTATTATTATCTACAAACATCGTAAGAGATATGATAGTACGAAGCAACCAACTGGATGTAAGAAATAAGGAGCAAGATTTGTCACTACGTGCAACGGAGGTAGCTTAACAATTTAAACAACTTTGAGTATTTACCTTTTGCACCCATACACATTTGCACTACCATTTGTACCTGCAAAAATTTGCACCCATGAACATCTGCACCCACAGACATTTGCACGCACGTATACGTTTTAACATCCGCGTACATACATCCATGAACATTAAATCTCACCGACATTTGCAAAAACGAACATTTGAACTCGCGTACATTTGCATTCATGGATATTTGCATCCACGACCATCTTCAATTCACGAATACTTTTGTTTACAACAAAATTTAATTTCTCCTTCAAATATGTAAAAATATATATATAAGTGTAATCCTTGTTACGGTCGCCACCTTTTTATAGCCATTAAAAGCAATATTCCAATTCGTTATTATCCCATGTTCCGATCATTTTCTTACAGCGAAAAACCCAAACGATCTACAATTATAAATCGTACAGAAAACTGGCCTCAAATATAAGCATCTTGTCAAAGTTAACTAATTCCACACTAGAAACGTGCCGTTACACGGATCAAAGTATTGAGAAAATATTGAAAGAGAAACTTAGGAGTAAGTTTTGCGCCGAGTAAGTTCATTTCATGCTTGGTCTTCTTTATTGGTGTCAACCTTTGAAAGATTATTTGACTTCTAGTTAGATTTTTCTTGAACTATAAGTTGATGGATGAAAATCGTAATTAATCGTGTGCAAGTTTACCATGAGGTGGCATTCATTACTTAGTATGCCTATAATATTAAAATATTCATCCACGTGCAAATGATTTTCATGTGTCCATGGGTGCAAAAGTATGCATGCAGAAATATCCTGGGTGCAGATTATAGGTGCAAGTATTCGTGGGCAAATTTTACGGGAGCTAAACCCCCACCTTTTTTTGTTATGTAGCAGCACCAGGATTCCAACATTCAACGACATCTTAGTAAAAAATCGGAGACGTCACCTTCAATAATTTCGACAACATTTTCTTCGACCAACGCCCCAACAACTCCCAATAGATATATTGAATGCAAAGAGGATTTGGAAGCACTCAAGCAGGAATATGCAAATAATTCATATAAGATGAAAGTATGAATAAGTATATTTTTAAGTTTGGTCCGATTTCATACCTGCCAGTTGCTAGATAAAGGGAATTGCTCTGAAAACGAAAATTTGGTATTTACAACCCTATATTATATTTAGTAATAGGAACGTGCAAAACGGAAAAAGCGAAATATACTACTTTAGAAGTGAGAACATAAAATACTATGAACAATGAACGCTGAAAGTTTTTGTACATAAAATGTGGTACCATCCGATTTCGTTTAGAAAATCAATACATTCGACGAAATGATTGGAATTATATATGCGACCAAATGACTATATTATATCATACCTTTGTTTATTGAAAAATTGAACATCCGAAAATATTTTTTCTGATATATTACAAGATGTTGCCTATTGTGAAATGTTCATGAGGAATTTCTTCACAAGCGGTACAGGATTAATTCTGTCATTTTACAGATAATATTTTTTTTTTGATATATTCATTTTGATAATGTATTTAACAGGAAGAGATTGAGAAGCAGTTTGAGATGTTCATTGGATCAATGTCAGCAACTCAAATTGAACGACAAAAACTTGTAAATAATGGATGTGAGGGGGTTAAGAAACCAATCAGTTTGAATGCCCAACCGAATTATGAATCTTTTTTAAACATATCATTAGGAAGACATCCGACCATCTATTACTCCTCTAAATACAATGTAAGTTGCACATCCACAATATATGTCATGATGTAGATTTGAAAATCAAAGTTCATCGGTCCCAGTTAAATATGGCGATATAGGATCGGGTGGAATTTTCCGTGTAAGGATAGGTATAATCCGTCCAGAATGATTATAGATTAGTCGTAAAATGTCGGATTCATGGTAAAGTGGCTATTCTCGCATACGTTTTTGCAACAAAAGGCTAAGTAACTAACTCGGCCATTTAACACTTTTCCATGACAAGTGATTCTATATATATGTAATGAAATATGATTTGTGCATAAAACGCTAATTTTTAATGATAACTCGATAAAAAATATATCAATAAATTTTGAATATGTACCGATATATATACGTTATTTGTGATTAATCGCAACGAGAGTTTTTATTAATTTCTTTCAATAAACTTCGATTAAATTGACAATTTTGTTTCATGTTGCGCAATTGAGCAAAAAGTTGTTTTTGAACTCAAGTAATCTTGATTACTTTGTTACGATATTTATTCTTTGTATTGCAGGTAATGTTTTGTGAAGTAGCAAAAGTCGGGTGCACACAGTTTAAACTTGCACTTCTGGAAATGGAAAATATCGTTAGAGATCCTTACAAATTGGAGCACGAAGATATTCATGCTGCGGCATATGATAGTCGAACCATGTTAGAACACGTGAATAATCTAACTAAGGTATGTATAGAGCGACATCAAGTACACAATAATTGAAGTCTGAGCTAGTAGATACGTTTGTCTGTTTCCTTGTTTTGGAATTTTACATAATAAGCTCGACAACTATTTGAAAAAAAGGTGATCCTTAGCAGCACCGAGAGCTATGCTATTCCGAAAATGAAGAATTTTCAAAGTGGTGCAAAACTTGCACCTGAAACACTGATACCTTCTAAATGTATGTCTATATTTTCAAGTAGATTTAAGGGTATTTTTAAATTTCCCAGTATATCAGTACAATTTTTCAAATCATCAAACACACGTTCATTGAATTAGATGTGAAAAAGCATACATTTTATACGTATTTACACCAATATACATTTTTCAGATCAAGGAAGTCATCGATACATATTTCAAAATCATGATAGTCCGGGAACCTTTTCAAAGATTGCTTTCGGCTTACAACGACAAACTAGCACCCAAAAAAGATTTTTATCATCCAAAATATACTCCAATATCGGAATACATCCGGGAAAAGTTTCACCGTTCTGATACAACACAGAAGATGGCAACATTCGAAAATTTTATAGATTTTTTACTCGATCAGAATCAAAAAGGGAAAACATTAGATTTGCATTGGGATTTGTACACGCGAGCTTGCGATCCTTGTGTGTACAAATATGACTACATTGCACGATTGGAAACGATTGAAAAAGACGCTCGTTATCTGGAAGAAAAACTGGGATTAAACAAAGAACTAATGCAGCATAAGATAATTACACTTTTTCATGGGGCTAGTGATAACTCAATTAAAGCACAAACTTCATATGAAAAAACCAAGATCGCGTATAACATGATTCCAAAATATAAACGTTTGAAACTATTTGAAATGTATAAACCGGATTATGACATATTTGGATATCCCTATCCTGCAAATTTGCTACAATAAATATCTAGTTACCAAACTGACAGTGTCGTTATCGTAAACATTTTATTTTTTGCAATGCCTTTCAAACAAAGTTCATGCAATTACTCGATTGAAAAAAGATAAGTTAGTACAATAAATGTTTATACTATAAATGAAATAATGTTCAATGTATTTTATTTCATTGGATGCAAGCGTGTGGTTGGGTAATTACTTTAAAGCATGCGGTTTAATTAATTTAGTTACTCAAAGTAAGAACTCCATTTATATCGCATATATTTTTATATACTGTACATATAAAATGAATCAAAGTGTTGCTGAAACGTGAAACTGACGAGAGAAATAGAAAATCCAGATCTTGTATAAATGACTTGAATACTGCAATTATGTGAACATTAAATACATTTCTGCAAATATTTATGTATATTGGATATTTCATAGAATATATACTGTACATATATATAATTCATATGCAATTTCACTCTGCAGATTGTTTATTAACATGAGTAGATAGATATTCGAGGGCTGTGGACCAAAAGAAAAAAAAATACAGAATGAAATGAGCTGGACGAAAATCAGAATGCGAGAATGTTATTTTCCAATATGAATAGTATATTTTTTGAGTTGAGTTGCGCAAATTCCGAGCGCAATTTAATTTTAAGGGCACATAACCTCTACAGTTTTGATATAGGTCGTTCAATGCTAAAATGTAATGAGTATATGAGCTTGATATTGATTTCACATTTTCGGGTAAATAGGGTTTCTGAATTACGAACTTAAAAGTTGTACAATTATAAACGTGCAATGATAAAAACAAATTTCGGGGGTTTTGATAAAAATAACCTAATTAGGGTCGAAATAAATGATTTCGGATTCTTCGTTTTGATCAGGCAGAAGTCCTTCAAGTTGTGTCACATTGTCGAGCACTAAAATTCTGGGCTCGATATAATTTCTCTCTCCAACATGGACCTAAATTTAAAAAATAAAAGTTCCAATTAATACTAATATTTTAGACAACAAGTATGATTTCAAGTTTCAAAGTGTAGCATCTTTTTAAAATCGACCTAAAAACGATTGGCCAAACAAAATCAGTATTTAAGTTGCTCACCAAAGATATGAATTAGTAGAATAAATATGACTGGTGATTTTATAGTTTTCTAGAACACAAAATATACCATGAAATAACAAAAAATTCGTCACTCATAATATAACAGGTTGAACAACCTCCATTACATCGAATCGCTGTTTTACTTGCATCAATCAAAAATCAACGAGCTGAATGTGAAACAATAAAAAAAGGGTTGATTGCGGGTTTTAAGTATTGATTTAAGTATTACGGAACAATTCCGGTGAACAGACTACCTGACTGACACAAGATTTATTGGACACGAATGGGACATGTAGATTGTCTTGGTATTATGTTGTTGTTGGAAGAAATTAAAACAAAGTGGAGATTACATTATTCAAATTAACATTATTCTTTAGAGTTAGAAATTCAGAGAATCAAATATATATACATTTGTGAGTATATAGGAAGTGACTTCAATCTGCGCCCCCTGAAGTAACTGTGTATATGTTTAAAATTAGTAATGAAACTAATACATATCATTCCTTGACTATTCTGAATGCTATTCGTTAGTTTTAGGTTGTGTTTCGGAAATTTAAGTATAAATCAAATAAGTCAATCATCATTTTGCTTTTTTAAAAGTTGTAGTTTAATTGCAGTAATCAAAAATTAGTCTAGAAATAGCTGTGATAAAATGGGCTAAAATTCTCTACCGGTACGCAATGATTTCTGCGAAGGATGCACTCGTGGCGCGTGCTTTCTCGGCGAAATTGTTGCTGGATACGTTTCTTGTGCTACTGTACTGTAATCTCTCGCGTACTGCTCCAATTTCACAAGTCACTGCTTACATGCGGATATTCATGACAGCAATGTTTTGCTAACAGCTAACCAATGAGCATATAGAGCTAACCTCAGGATAGTTGTCTAGAAATCTTGTATATATATTTGTTTTTCTATGATGTTCTCGATCTATATTCTGCGATATAGAATTTAATATCCAAGTCTTCGAGAAATGTAGAATTTTATATTGTTGAATGAATTGAATGGATTCTCCAACTTTTGTGAATTTATTGTATTGCATTGATAAAAATATTTGTCTGACCCGTTTTCAACACAGTTTGAGCGAAAATATATACTGCTGCGGTTTGAGTCATACCTGGCCCGAGGTCAAAAAAGTTTGGTGACCTCTGATTTAGATGTAATATCTCGTTGGAATAGCGAGAATTTACGCGAAAATAAATATAACCGTTGTTTAAAACTTAGTCTATATGTATTCAGAGAATTTCGTATAAATCAGGCCGACTTCCAGAATATATTCTTGGAGCATAAGTCATTTCAATTTTCCTATTGCGTCTCAGTTGAACGGTATTACTGCGTCTGTTAATTGTCAATCTTTCATTATGCCTTCCTTCATTTGTTTCTCACCAAATTGCATATTCCTTGCACTTTTTCGTTTGCTGGCAATGGCAAAGTCCCTGCCATTAGAGAGGGGGAGGGGGGTATTCGAATAAACAAGAACAGATGAATACAGACTAATAATTCCAATCTTCTGCAGTCTTACTGAAATATATAGCCCTTTTCCAGGAAATAGCATGACTAATCATATCTATCTTGTGATTGTTGCCCACAGGTCACAAGATAAATCAGTTTATGACCTATGGGGTCTAGGCCAGGGGTCACCAACGCGTTGCCCGCGGGCACCAAGTCGCCCGCGAAGACCATATGAGTCGCCCGCAGGTCTGTTCCAAACTAAGCTACGGCTCTTATAAGTAAGCTACATCAATTAAATTTTGTCCTGCTATTTTAGTATAAATCACAATTATATGGGAACTTGAAATAGACAATATATTAATATTTGTAACCATCAACCTTATTTTTGTTTGACCTCAGTAATGTGACGGGTCAATTTAAACTCTTCCAATTATGACATCACACCGATATCACTTTCAACGAACCCGCACTTTTTCTTGTCCGTTGGTTTGTGGAGCAGCAATAATACAATTATTGATTCCAAAGAAAAATGGCAGAAAAGCGATGAAAAACCCATCATTTTCACATGAAATCATTTTTACCACCATGAAAAAAGCCTGCGTGTGTCTCATTAGTGGGGCGATCGTAGCGACGACAAAGCGGAGAGATATTTCACATCTTGTCACGCAATCTATCCACTGGTCAGCGCAGTACGGACAGAAAAAGCTCGCGATTCAAATCATACAGCAATCCTATTTTACGAGACCATTGTTTGGTTCAACCTATCTTTGTGAATTAACATTTTTAACATAAACTCAGGATAGGATTTACATATTTATCCCGGGGAGAAGATAGCCGATAAGACGGCTTAACCATATGAAGACCACGGCCTCTCGCCCAGTTACCAGTCCATGTCGGGTATGAGATTAGTTAGGTATTTGTTTGCGGATGCATGGACTTCATGGCGAATGAAGCCGTAACCGGCCAGCAGTTACGTGAACCACCCTACGGCGGCGAGGAGTCCAGCAATTCTTTACTTTAGTATATAAATATTCCCGCATGGGATTCTAACCTGCGAGCCTAACGCTTAACACGATGGGCCACAGCGCTGCGACTAACTCCACCAGGAACAAACACGGAACACGCCTCACTGATGAAAATCTGCAAGACTTGCTCAGAGTTACAGTGTCAACTTACACGTCGGAGTATGATACTCTGCAACATTTGATGGTATAACTGTTAAGTAGGCCTACAGTTTTATCTTAAACTTGCGCAGAGTGTTGAAAATCAATTTGAAAACACTCAGTTTTAAAATGCAAGCGTCATTGATAAAAATTTGTACGCTACGTTGTGATAATAGTTTGATTCCCTGAAGAATCCTAAAGTTCATTAGTGTCTCTACTTTACTAAATACCAGTACTTATACCAGTGGCGGCGCGTCAATAGGGCCAACCGGGGCAATGCCCCGGTTGTTTTTTCGGTATAATAAAAAATATTCGAAAAATACCTCAATATCGGTTGCACAGACTGTCTACACTAGCCATATTCTCCCGACATGGTTCATTTTTCGCTCGCGAAGCCTTCGCCGAACGTCGACGGGGCGACGCCGATTTTGCCCCGGTTGCTCATTGTATATCGTATTCTCTCTTTTATCTTCCACTCGCCGCGTTTGTCTCGTTTGTTTTCTGTTTCTTTTACTAATTCATCGGGGCTAGCCCCGAAATTATGACGACACAATGCCGACGTTTCTTACAACAACGTGTTGACATATTCACGCATTCCTTCTCGTTCGTTGGTTGCTTGAAGAGTTGATAGTTTCCTCGCCTTCGTTTTTGTCGCTTGTTTCGCTATTTGAATCAGTTAGAGACCTTTAGTCCATTTGCTTTCGATTTTCCACATTCCTTTTGAGCTCCTCACTTCTTTCCGGCTTCGCATTTCTTAGCCTTAGACCTCATAATGAATAAGGTTGATGCACTACTTCGCACTCTGTTTTCGCAGCTGCCTCTGGAACAAAAATTAGAGGTACAACGTCTTGGGCCTTATCAACCAAAAAATTGTTCACTGGAACAATCCCATGACGGAGGAAAGCGTCGGCGTACATTCTGCGCAGAAACTTGGTATAAAAAACACGAATGGTTGTGTTCCAGCGAGGACAAAAATGCACTTTTTTGTTTTCATTGCCTACTTTTTGCTACCGCCCGTGACTCACGTTGGTGTAAATTTGGTTTTGGAGATCTTAAACATCTTTCCGAGCGTGCCAGGGATCATCAATCTTCTATGGAGCATCTGGACAATGCAGTAAAATACCGAACATTCGGAAATGTTAATATTGCAGCACAGTTGGATGAAGGACGCGCGGTTTCTATTCGTCGGCACAACCAAAACGTCGAGAAAAACCGCCATGTTCTCGGTCGATTGATAGATGTTTTGAAGTTCATTGGTTGTCACGAGCTGTCCTTCCGTGGGCACGATGAACGGGCTGGCTCTTCTAATAGAGGGGTATTTTTGGATATGGTGGAATACACCGCATCCCTAGATACAGTATTGAGAGATCATCTTGATGCCGCAACTGTTTCGAAAGGGACATCTAAGGATATCCAAAATGATTTGCTCGACTCAATGTATAAAATTTATTTACAACATTTGGCTCTGGAAATTGAGAATTTGCAGTTCCTTTCGATTCAGTCTGACGAGACAACTGACATCACGTGCGTTTCCCAACTGGCTGTGATTTTTCGGTTTGTGAAAGATGGTAAACCTACCGAGAGATTTCACAGCTTTGTACCAATCGTTGATCGCACGGCTTGCGGGATATCGGCTGTATTGAAAGAAGTGTTACAGCCTTACAAGGCGAAGTCAAAATTGATAGCTCAAACTTATGACGGCGCGGCAGTCATGAGTGGGTCGAAACATGGTGTTCAAGTTTATATAAAAGAAGATTTTCC